AGGTATGGTCGTATGTGCTTGAGAGAGAAGTAAATCTGTATTATATAGATGCAGGAGCTACAATGCGAGTCGAAATGCGCATCCCCGGAGTTGAAACTCGCAATGACTGATGGTTGTGCTGATAGAAGAGGTGATTCATTGCTATCAACCCACGCTTCCTACCTAAGTATAGCCCAACTTAGCTTCAAATGTACGATGAAAAGAGCAGATTTGAGATCTCCAGATTTTTATCTGTAATTTTCGAAATATTGCAAGAAGATCAAATCGCCGGGTGTTACACTCCTGCAGATCATGAATGCCTACAGGGTAACTTACAGGCGCCCGGAATAACGTGTGCGCGGTAGGTACATTGGTTAGGTACCTCCTGCCTAAAGGCCCGTGCGCGTTGCTTCCCTGGTAGCAAACAAAGGAAGGCGTGTCGGATCTTTAGCTTTCGTTGAAGCTCCAAATTTCCTGGTCTCTTCAACAACAATCAAAGACTCCATTTCCTTTGTCGGGGGGTCTTTCATCAACGTCCCACACCCTTTCGTCGGCAATTAGCACTGTACAGTCTTTTACGCGAAACCTGTTTTAATCGACGATTCTTTATTTCGAGCGCGCAGATACGGGAATGACGAGTGTCGCGACATCGATCTGATCCGACCACGACCATGGCGGCCGCAGACGTGGACATTGGCTACGTCGCAGGCCACCTTGGCCTCGATCAGCCTGTCGTCGCGTCATTGACGACCGAACCGACCGTTGACCTCGTAAATATCTTGCTTCAGGCCGTCGCAGCCAAAGCGCACGAGTTTGACACTCTTTACGCCGAAAAGCTTCAAGCCGACATTGAGCTCGAGAGCGCGGCGCGCAGCTCTGAAACGCGATCGCAAACTTTCAAGGCTACTGCGGATAAGGCCCTGAAGGATGTCGAAGAGGCCAGGCAGCAACTGAAGGATGAAGGTATGTGTCGGTGAGGCATGGAGTGGAGTACATGATTATTGACATTGCTTTTTTCAACACAGAAACCAAGCGACAATCAGTTGAAAACGAACTTCAAGTCTTTAAATCCAAGAAGTCTGATTACGATGCCGAGATTAAGGCTCTCAACGATAAGATTGAAACTCTTCAGTCATCGAACCGAACCAATTTGAGCATCATCGAATCGAACAACAAACGCGACCAGACTATTACCGAAGAACTTACCAAGCAGCATCAGCGAAACGTTGAACTCTCTCGCGAGATTACCGCTCTGCAACAGTCAGAGCAGAATGCGCGAGGCCAGCTCAGCAGCGCCAAGTACCGAGAGGAATCACTCCAGCAACAGCTCGATCTTGCCCGAAAGAACAGCGAATGGCTAGAGAACGAACTCAAGACCAAGAGTGAGGAGGGCCTCAAGTACCGAAAGGAGAAGGGCGCTCGCATTGCTGAGCTGCAAAGACAAAATGAAGACATCCAATCACAGGTCGATGCCCTCAAGCGAACTGAACAGCAGCTCCGCGAGCGACTCGATGCTATGCAGTCCAAGGCCGACGAAGCTCTAGTGAAGCTTCAGAAGCAGGAGGGTACTCACGCCCAGACGATCGAGAGTTACAAACACGAGCTTGAGGCTCAGAAGCGACTTGTCGAAATGTCTGATCAGCTGAGCAAGAAACACCAAGAACGAGTGCGTGACCTCGAGGCTGAGAAGGAGCGACTTCGAGACAACTACGAGAACGAACTTCGACGTGTTCGAGTCGAGCTCGAGCAAGAGCGCGAGAGTTCTTCACAGATGGAGGAGCGAATCAACCAGCTCCAGGCCGAAATCGACGAGCTCCAAGTGCGAGTTGAGCAACAAGCGCCTGCACCTCCTGCCGAGTCTGCACCACAGACTCCTCGTGCCAATGGCTCTCTTATGCGACCCTCCTCTCCCTTCGCGACACCTGGTTCTATCCGAGCCAAGGGTGCCATTACCGCCACACAGGCTCTTGACCAACTGTACCAAGTCAAGGGCCAGCTGGCTACTGAGCGACGTCGTAACCAGCAGCTCTCCGAGGAGTTGGATAATATGATGTCTGCTTTGGAGGCCAAGGCGCCTGAGATGCAAGAGCTTCAAGCCGAGGCTGATCAACTTCGAGAAGAGATTACTCGCATGTCGGAGCTTTCTCAGGACAGCTATAAGGAGCGTGACAATGCCAAGAAGGCTGCGAGAAAGGCTGAAGGTGCACTTGCAACAGCACAGTCCGAGACCAAAATTCTCCGCGTTCAACTACGTGACCTGGGTACCCAGATCAACATGCTCTTGTTCCAGATCCACGCCATGGAGAAGGGTATGGATCAGCTTACCGAGGACGAGACTTACCGCCTTCAGCAACTGCAGAAGGGAGAGATTTCTGAAGATTCTCTATCAGACATGTCCGACACTCACCAGTTCATTACCCAGAAGTTAGTTGTGTTCAAGGACATCCAATCCTTACAATCTAAGAATGAGGAGCTTCTGCGTATTACTCGTGAGCTTGCCGATCAACTTGAAAGCGAAGAGGCACTTGCAGAGAAGCACCAGGCTAAGCAAGACCACGATATGGTTGAGAAACTCCAGCAAGAGCTGGCTCACATGACCGATGAGACAAGGTCAATCAAGAAGACCATGGACAGCTACAAGACCGAGCGAGACATGTTCCGACGACTTTTGCAACAACGAGGCGGCGATGAAGCTTCAATGATGCGAAACTCTATTGCTGGTGGTGAGCGCTTGCCTTTGGCTAGTATCGAGGCAACCGAGCAAACCGAGGCTCTCAACGAGGCTATTCGCAAGCTTCAGTCCGAATACGACAACTACCGCGACGCTCAGGACGGAGTCCGTAAGGATCTGCGCGACCAAATCGACACATTGTCTGCTGAACGAAACGCCCTTCAGACTGACAAGGTCAAGCTTCAAGCCGAGACTCGCCTTGAATCCGAGAGACGCGAGATGTTGCACACCAACTTTGTCGCCCTCCAGAATGAGAACCAGGAGCTTCAGAAGCGTAGCCAGATTTTGTCCGAAACAGCCGCTAAGCAGGATATCCGAACACAACAAGTTGCCGAGGAGCTGATTGAAGCTAAGGGTCTCCTCGACAGCGTTCGTAACGAGACTGCCAATCTCAAGGCTGAGAAGAAACTGTGGAAGGACATTCAAGACAGGTTGAGCAAGGATAACGAAAATTTGATTGAGGAGAAGAACCGCCTCAACAACCTACTTGCCACTCAACAGTCGCTCGAGAATGAGCGCAACATGGCTGAATCCGAGGCACGACGTAAAGCCCAGGCCAAGATTGAAAGTCTTGAACAGGATCTTAGCGACGCCCAGAGAAAGCTGAACTACGAGGCGGAGGAGACGAAGAAGCTGCAGCTTAGGAAGGAGTATGAGGCCAAGGAGTCACAGAAGCGAATTGATGAGCTCATGACAAGTTTGAGTCAAATTCGTGAGGAGCACGTCGCTGTTAAGACCAGCAGGGATCATCTCCAGGCTCGTGTTGATGAGTTGACCGTTGAGTTGCGAAATGCCGAGGACCGAGCTGGGCGCCTTCAGCCTCGACCTACTCCTCGACCTGGCACCATCGAGAACGGCGAGCAACAACAGCAACTCGAGAACGAAATCCAGGAGCTCAATGTTGAGATATCCGACCTTAAGCGTGACCTGGATATGGCCAATACCCATCTGGAGAATGCCAAGGCCCAGGCTGAGCAATTCAAGGAGCTCAGCCAGGCTAACGAAGAATCTCTCGAGGACTTGCGGGGATCGCAAGAGCAGTATCGTCAAGAGATGGAAACCCTTATCGAAGAGAAGGATGCCAAGATCAAGGAGCTTGGCCAGCGAGTGGAGGACATGTCGGCTGAGCTGTCTCGCTCAAACACTGAGCTCTCTAGCCTTCGTGATTCCCAGGGTGAAGTTGCACGACGATATGAGGATGAGAAGGCGATGTTGCAAGAAGAGGTGAACCGACTCCAGGAGGAAAGCGCTCGACACTTGGAGGCTACCCGATACCATCAGCAGGATCTCCGTTCCCAGGCTGAAATTGCTTCCAAGGCCCAGCAGGATTACGAGAAGGAACTCGTGAAGCATGCTGAGGCTGCCAAGCTCGTCCAACAACTGCGAACCGAACACAACGCCCTCAAGAGCGAGGCCGCAGCTTTGAGATCCGAGGCTGACTCCGCCAAGGTTACTCTTGCTCAGAGTGAGAGCTCTTGGGAGGATCGCCGCCAACAACTCGAACAAGAGATGGCCGAGGTCAAGCGCCGACGCGAGGACGTGAACTCACAGAACAAGATCCTTCACCAGCAGCTGGAGGGCTTAACTGCACAAGTCGCTGCGCTCCAGCAGAAGCGTGCTGGTGGCGAGGAGCAGGATGATGATGAAAGGATGTCTCCCGTGCCTTTCGGCGACGCTACCGAAGGCCTGCGTGAACTCAACAGTTATCTTCGACGCGAAAAGGAAATTCTCGAGGTTCAGTATGATCTCAAGACTCAGGAATCCAAGAGACTTCAGCAACAGCTTGAATACACACAGTCTCAGCTGGATGAAGCACGCCTCAAGCTTGACCAGGAGCGTACACAGACTGCTCAAAGTGGCAAGACATCCATGACACACAAAGACCTGATGGAGAAACTGAATGAGTTGAACATCTACCGTGAGAGCAGTATGACACTGCGAAACGAGAACCAGCATCTCAAGGACCAACTCACTGAAAAGAATCAAAGGATTGAGGAGATGGAGGCTCGTATCCAGCCACTGGAGGCCGAGATTGACACACTCAAGACCCAGAAGCAATTCGTGGAGGAAGAGATGAAGGGAATGCAGGAGGATCGTGATAGGTGGCGAAAGCGCACTGAGGGTATCATGAGCCAGTACGGACGAGTCGACCCTGCCGAGATAGATCAACTCAAGGAGAAGATTACCGAGTTGGAGGCTGAGCGAGATGCCTTGAAGCAGGGCGAAGAGCCCTTGAAGGCTAAGCTTGCCGAGGTCGAGGCTAACTTCGAGACCGAACGGGGCACCTGGACCGCTACACGTGCCAAGATTGTTGAACAAGCCAAGGAACGGTCCAGGAAGCTTACTGGCGAGAAGAACGAGGCTATTCAGCGAGCTACTCAAGTGCAGGAGAGCTTGGACCAGGCCAATGCCGAACTCGAGAATATCAAGAAGGAGGCGGAGGAGTCCAAGAACCAGAAGTCTGAGTTGGAGCAACAAATCCAGAACTTCCAGAAGGAGGTTGAGCAACTACGACAACAAGCACAGGCCACTCAATCTACGCCTGCGGCTGCTCAGTCCAACGAAGCTTCGGTATCTTCCGAGATTGTCACTCAGCTCGAGCAGCAGCTCGCCGAAGCCCGTAAGGAGCTCGACGCTATTAATGGTCAGAAGCAGGGCGCTGAGCAGCAGCTCGAGACTCTTCGTAATGAGCTGCAGTCGGTTATCTCGGAGCGGGATGAGGTGTCAAAGAAGCTGCAAGAGGCCACCAATGCCGCTGCCCAACACACGCAGAGTGCTCCTGAGACTGCCACCCAAACTAACGAGCAAGCCCCTGCCGAGTCTACTGAAGCATCTAATGGCGTCTCGGATGAGGAGAAGAAGGCTCTCGAAGAGAGGGTGTCAGCCGCCGAAGCCAAGGCTGCTGAATACGAGCAGAAGGCCAATGAAGTCGAGGCCCGAATTCAAACCACCATCAAGGAGCGCTCCGACAGGATGCGGGATACCTTGAACGCCAAGCTCAAGGAGAGCAGGCAACGTATGGAGGACGAGTTCAAGAAGAGGAACGCAGATCTGGAGCTTCAGTTCAAGCAAGAGAAGCAGATCTGGCTAGCCGAAAACCCCAACGCCAAACCTAACGCAGATGCTCCCAAGGCCGAGGCAACAGAACAACAGCCTCCTGCAACACCCGCTAAGGCTGAAGCTCCTGCTGTGCCTGCAACACCGGCGTCTGCTGGACCGGCCGACCTGTCACAGCTTGATGATGCCGGCATCCGACAGTTCCTTTCGACAAACCCAACTGTTAAGAACATTGTCGCAGCAAACATTAAGAAGAAGCTGGAGGTTGAGAGCAACAAGTTGAAGACAGAGCTAGAGTCGACTCTCAAGAACGAGTACGAATCCAAGATTTCATCAGCTCGAGAGCAGGCTCAGCTTATGGAGTCGAAGAAGTCTACCTTGAGGATTAACATGGCGGAGAACAAGCTTAGAGCAGCCAATGCCAAGATTGGGGTAGTCGAGAAGGCGGCATCTGAGACACCTCAAAAGCCTGTTGTTGAAGTTTGGGATGTAGCGAAGACAGCGCAGGCACCTCCTCCTGTGCCGGCAGCAGCCAAGGCGGCACCTGCCAGGCAGGGCTCAGTAGCTGGCGTGCCTCCATCTCCGGCGCCCGCAACACCTGCAAAGAGTACTCAACCAGCACCAACAACAACGCCTGCAGGAGCACCACCTGCAACGGAAGCCAAACCAGCCCAGGCACAGGCAGCGGCTCCAGCTACAAGTGGAATCCCTCCCCCTAAGGCCAACAACCCCTTCGCAGCGTCTACAAACGCTGCCTCAACCTCTGCACCGAACCCATTCGCTCCTAAGAACGAAGGTGGTGCTCCCGCTGTCAAGAACGAGAATGGTGCGCCTCCTGCTGCTAAGGAGGGCCAGCCTCAAGCTCAGCAAGGCCAACAAGGCCAACCAAAGCAGCAGCAACAGGGTCAACAGCAGGGTCAGCAGTCAGTACGAACTGGTATTCCAATGCCTCGTGGTGGTGGACGAGGAAGAGGTGGAGCTTATGTACCTCCCGGTCAGCGCGCAGCCAGTGGCACTCAAGAGGGCGGACAGGGCCATGCTGGTCGTGGAGGACGAGGAGGACGTGGCGGTGCTCGTGGTGGAATGAATCCAGGTGCCAACGATTTCCAACCTGGTAACAAGCGCCCACGAGGTGATTCTGAGGTTGGTGGAGGAGCCAAGCGTGCTCGCGGAGCGCATTAATAGACCATTGGGATTGGCATATCCCGTATGGAGTTGGTTATTGGAGTTGTACAACAACATAACAAAACGCATTGTAATTATTTGTCATTTCGGCATGGAAGGTGAACACGTGGGATGAGAGAATGGATGACAGGTTACGGAGAGTTTCACAGCATTTTACATGTCTACTACATATTGGGTTCCTTTACGGAAAAAAAGAGAAATATTTCCTTGGTTTCAATTCATGATTTGACTTGTTCCGTCTCGTGAAAAGATTGATGCATGTCTTGTAGCATCGGATGGTGATGTTGGTCAAATGAGGTGACCCGAAATAGAGATGATGACGGCTAATTCATCAAATAAATACCAGCTTAAGAATGCTTGTGACACTCTGCTTACTGATATTAATTTCGAGGTGAGCCAAGTATAAGTATCCCATGATGGAACGCCTCAGAGAAGAGAGACGGTTCACCAATGGTGGGGGTGTCGGTGGATCGGCATCAACTTTTGCCGATAAGCGATAAGAAAAAGTATCAATAAAAAAATTGGGGACCTTCTTACAGGATTCAAGATCGACTCGACGAAGAAAAACACGACGTTAGAGCGACTTCCCGACGACAAACGACGATCAGATAGACAATCGCAATCGCCTCAATAATAGGCGACTTCTATTTACTCCAATGGTTCCCCCGTCAAAGAAGCGCAAGCTTCCTACTACCGTCGGTCCTGCCTCGAAACGATCCAAGAACACCACCAAGCCTTCAAACTCCAAGAAGAGCGCAAAGCCACCGCGCAAAGCCGTCGACGCTGGAGCTCTCGCTTGGGCTTCAGTCGGAGAAGACTTTGGCGGACTCGAAGTAATTGAGGGCGTCGACGTTGTCAAGGATGGTAGCAAGGTCCAATTCCTGGTGTCCGGCGACAAGAACAAGAGCAACGTAATCGACCCGCAACAAGAATTTGTCGATGGGGACCAATCTTTTGAAGGGTTTGGCGACGACCCTGTGGAGGTCGGGGATATCGATTCCGGCGAAGCTGGCAGTGGTCAAGACGGCGTGGAAAGCGAGAAGCCTCAAGGGAAGAATAAGGGCAAGAATGCAGAGCAAGAAAAGAAAACCAAAAAGCAAAACAAAAACAAACTGGATGGGAAGAACGGTGCCGGCAACAAACAAGACGAGCAATTGGTCAAGGCCGCGCAAGGCGTACAAAAGTCCTCTGCACGCGGGAACACGTTCGGCGCGCTGGCCGATGGGAACGACGAAGACGACGAAGAAGTCGACATGGCGCCCTGGGTTTCTCTAAACCTGTCGCCTCAGATCATTTCCGCCATCGCCAAGCTCAAGTTCGCAAAGCCGACAAAGATTCAGGAGAAGACGATTCCCGAGATTGTGGCTGGTCACGATGTCATTGGCAAGGCGCAGACAGGTTCCGGAAAGACGCTCGCGTTCGGTATTCCTATGGTGGAGAGGTGGCTGGAGATGCAGGAGCAGGGTGTTGAGAGGACTGGCCCCATGTCTGTGGTGCTCTCTCCTACGCGAGAATTGGCTAAGCAGTTGGGAGACCATCTTAAGGCTCTCTGCGACGGCCTTCCTAGCGCACCATATGTTTGTGTTGTGACTGGTGGTCTCAGTATTCTGAAGCAACAGCGACAACTGGAGAAGGCCGATATTGTTATTGGTACACCTGGTCGTCTATGGGAGGTTCTCAGCGGCGACAGAGCTCTGCAGGCCGAATTCGCCAAGATCAAGTTCCTTGTTGTTGATGAGGCGGATCGACTTTTCAAGGTTGGACAGTTCAAGGAGGCTGAGGATATTATTGGTGCCCTTGATGGAAAGAGCCCTGGCGATGATGCCGAAAGTGAGGATGAGGAGGACGACGAAGACGAAGATGAGCGCAACGCCCGACAGACACTTGTCTTTTCAGCTACTTTTGATAAGGACCTTCAGACCAAGTTGGCCGGCAAAGGCAAGTCTACAGGAAGCGACGACGAAAAGATGGCGTATTTGATGAAGTGTCTCAAGTTCCGCGGAGAGCCCAAGTTTATCGATGTCAACCCCATCAGTCAGATGGCCTCGGGTCTAAGAGAAGGACTTATTGAATGTGGTGCTATGGAGAAGGTGAGTCTACAGTACAAACGTCACGCGTTCACGATGCTAACAAATTACAGGATCTTTACCTTTACACCGTTCTCATCCTCAACCCTGGTCGTCGCACTCTTGTCTTCACCAACTCCATCTCAGCTGTTCGCCGTATCACACCCCTTCTTACAAACCTTAACCTCCAAGCCCTCCCCCTGCACTCTCAAATGGCACAAAAGGCACGTCTCCGCTCTCTGGAGCGCTTCACTGCCAACCGCAACTCTATTCTTGTTGCTACCGATGTTGCTGCTCGTGGTCTCGATATCAAGGAGGTTGACCAAGTTCTGCACTACCACGTTCCTCGATCCGCGGACACTTACATCCATCGATCTGGTCGAACCGCTCGTGGCGAAAATAGCGGTATCAGTGTTATTCTCTGCGCGCCTGAGGAGGTTCTTCCTACGCGCCGTCTCGCAAACAAGGTTCATACCGAGCGCAGTGCGGGTACCAAGAGAGAACACTTCATCCAGACACTTCTTATCGACCGCAAGGCGGCATCGCGTCTTAAGCCTCGCGTGGACTTGTCCAAGAAGATTGCCGATACGATACTTGCCAAGGAAAAGGGCCACAGCGATGATACATGGCTGCGCAACGCTGCCGATGAGCTCGGTGTGGAATATGATTCTGATGATATTGATGAGATCAACGGCGGCGGCCCTAAGGGTGGTCGTGGCGGAGGCCGAAGAAGAAAGGAGCAGAAAGCCCAACAACTTACCAAGGCGGAGATGGGTGCTCTCAAGGCTCAGCTAAGAGAAGAGTTGAGCAGGAGAGTTAATCTGGGTGTGAGTGAACGATATATCACAGGTGGAAGAGTTGATGTTGCTGCTCTATTGAGAGAAGGACAGCAGGGAGGTATGTTTTTGGGTAACACGGATGGATTGGGCTTTGACCTATAGTGTTGGAGATTTTGAGCGTGATTGAGGCTGGATATCTGTATTAGAGATGTCGGGCTTGTTGATAATATAACAAAAGTACTATTCTTATGACACATTTCATTCTTTCAATTAACATGTCTATGTCCAGATTAGTGTGGAGTTTAACGGCGTTCGGTATTGAGACTGGGTGACCGCGGGAAACTGTATAGTAGAGTTGGCCGCGGAGTTTGATGTGGGGATTCTTCGTCTTGAGCTATCAGATTGCCTATCTATCATGCCTATCAAGGCAGATCAAACCCCGAGGACTTTTGTCTTTAGGGATAACTTCATCAGTATCGTATAGGAGAGATGGATTTGAAGTATGTAAATTGACTGGACAATGAATGTTCTTGTAATACAGTAAACAACCTCCCATTGGCGAGGGCCAGCAAAGCTGTTGATATCCAACGATGTGTATTACTATTCGCAAGCCAAATCTGGCTACCTACCTATAGTAGGTAGATCCACAACACCATATGCAAGCCTCCAACTTGGCTTGGGCCGTAGTAGATCCCCGCGGGAAACTCGTCATGATCAGATGAACATACACAAGAGATAACAGAGAGTTGCAATGGTTCCCCTCATACGTGCGGGGTTCCTAAAGATATATAAGTACAAAGTGTATATATAAAGAGCAAGACACACCGTCAAGATAGTCCCGATCATCCATCACTTCAACACCATCACAATGCCCAGCCTTATTGAAACCCCCGAATCCCCCTTCACACCCAAAGTCCAATCCAAGCTCCTCGCAAACCGCGAGAAAGCTTCCCGTGACTTTCGCTCCGATGTAGTCACCGTCCCCATAGAGTCCATGATGACAGCCATCCTCGAAGCCTCTGTCAACGACGACATCTATGACCCAGAAGGCGACCCTTCAGTCAAAGCTCTGGAGTCCCGTCTGATTGAGATGACGGGCATGGAGGCTGCGCTGTGGGCAATTTCTGGAACGCAGGGAAATCAGATCTGTTTGAGGACGCATCTTACGCAGCCGCCGCATAGTGTGCTTTTGGATCACAGGGCGCATGTGCATTGTTGGGAGTCTGGGGCTTTGCCGGTTATTTCTCAGGCGGGTGTTACTACGATTAAGCCGGAGAATGGAGTTCATTTGACGTTGGAGGATGTTAAGAAGAATATTATTGCTGATGGGAATAGTAAGTTATCCCAGGGTCATATATCTGACAGAAAGTTGACCATCATAGTTCACTTCCCGCCTACCAGAGTCGTATCCCTCGAGAATACCCTCTCCGGAACAATTCTACCACTTGCAGATGCCCAAGCCATCTCAAACTACGTCCGCTCATTCCCAGTCCCAGAGGGCCAAAAGCCCATCGCCATGCACCTCGACGGAGCTCGTGTCTTTGATGGCGTTATCGGCGAAGGCGTTGATCTGAAGGCGTACGCAGCATGCTTCGATAGTATCTCCATCTGTCTCGCCAAGGGCATCGGCGCCCCAATGGGTAGTGTAATCCTCGGCAAGAAGCCCTTCATCGAGCGAGCCAAATGGTTCCGAAAGATGCTTGGAGGAGGAACCCGACAGCCAGGCATGATGGCAGCTGCAGCACTTTCAGCTCTCGAGTACAGCGTCCCCAGGTTCTCGTCTGTCCATGCGTTGACCAAGGAAGCTGCGAAGCGCCTTGAAGCTGTTGGGTATAAGTTTGCGCTTCCTGTGCAGACGAACATGATTATTCTCGACCTTGAAGCCGCTGGTATCCCACCTGCTGCATTCGTCGAGTATTGTGCAAAGGAGAATATTGCGGTGTTTCCTATGGCGAGACTTGTGTTTCATCATCAAACTTCCGAGACAGCGGTTGATAGCTTGGTCAAGGCGCTGACGAAGTTGATGGAGGATAAGAAGAATGGGGTGGCGTTGAAAGATGGAGAGGCTCATGGTGGATATAGCTAAAGAATAAATTATAGTGAATTTATCGTCGCGAAGCTCTTGGTCGGATTTGAATGCATGCGTCTAGCGGTGGAATGATTGTTGCGCCCAGCCATTGTGCTTTTGGTCGTTCGTCAATTGTCTTGATATCGTAGTCGAGGAGAAGTCTGGCTGCGATTAGCTTGAGCTCATGGGCGACAAAGAATCGTCCAGGACTATAAATGTTAGCAGATCTTCGTAATTATACACAGCAATAGACTTACCAAGCATGTCGACCCAGACCAAACGCTAGATGACTATCGCTGATCGTCACCATTCCCAAACCTTTGACCCTCAAGCCTTCCTTCTCATTCTCCTTCTTCTCTTCAGCTGTCTTCCTTTCCCATTCCTCTCTAGAATTCGAGTATCGCCATGGATTATACTTTATAGCCCCTTCAAAAATCTCGTCATCGTGATGTGTCCCTTGCAAGTTCAAAGTTACAAAAGCGCCCTGCGGTAACGTCCATCCGTAATCGGGGTTATGAAGGCCCTCGGACGCAATGACCTGTCGTTCAACGAGATTCGCGGCAAAGTTACTTAAACGTTGAGATTCGCGAAATGATGAGTCGAGTCGTACAAGAGAGGCGAGACTTTGCTTGGTCCAGTGCCCCTCAGTCGGCTGATGAGCCTTGAGTTCGTCGCGTAGTGTATCGAGAGCGCGTCCATCGGGAGAAAGGGACCAGAGATCCAGCATCCAAGAATGGCCTGTCAAAACAGTTGTATGAATAGCCGCGAAGTTGATGGGCAAAATACGCTTGGAGACGACAATGGGATCAAGCTCGAACGCGTTACCCTCGGCCATGGCAAGACGAATGTGCCATGTAAAATAGTCCTCTGGAGGTGACCAATTCTTCATCTCAGGATCTCCAGCTTCTTTACGTTGCATATCCTTTATACGCTGTTCAATAATCGGCAAGACACGGCGCGCAGCGGTGCGCCAGTGAAGATAGTTTGGGATAGTAATAAGACGACCGACGATAGGATGCAGGACTTGAGGAAAAGCGTGGAGCAAGAAGCTATTCCGAACAACATCATCTGTGAAGCGAACCATGGAATCGATAAAGTCGGGATCTCGACATATCGTCTCACCAACAAGAAGACGGTTCGTAATACGAGGAACTATAGCGAGCCACATCTCCCACAAATTCACTTTTGTGAAACCCTCAGCATCGACATTTTTTGGGTTCTTCTCAGCAGCTGCTTTAATTAGTGTCTCGAGCGCATCTTGGACTGTAGCGTTGGTTTCATCTGCGATAGCTGGGACCAGAGCTGGTAGATGACGAGCAAGATACTTGTGCACAACTCGCGGGCCAAAGTCGTCCTCTGTAAGATCCTTGCCGAGGAAGTTATACTCGCTGTGCATGATCTTATCGTGGGCATGGGCTGCAGAGAGGATGTGGTCAGGCTGGCTCATCATCCACGCGACTTGGGACCTGGGCATAACGACGTCTGGAGGACGTGAGAGTGGTGCTGGAGCAATGAAGGGTAGCCCATTTTTGCCATACTATCCAACATTAGCAACTGTAAGAAGAAGGAGAGGTATGGGGCTACCTTTTCATAACCTTCTCCAGTCCATGCCTGATGCTGCGTAAAGTAGGCAAAGCTATTCCGAATTGTCGAAAACCATTTCTTGGAATCGTGACCGAGAACAGGAATGCTATCAGGATAACGAGGTTGACTCAGTAAGTCGAAGATGAAAGAAATGACCAAGAATAAGAAGCTGAAAACAAAGACTCTTAGTAAGGTCACTTGAGCTAGAATATCAGCTAACAAAGTCATATTGAAGCTTGACTATACCACGAAATATTATATACAAAGAAGAAATTGAAGATGATGAAAGAAGAAAGAGGTTCTCTGGTTCAAATAATATAAACCCCAGTCGTTAACCAATACTAAGCCACATTCCTCTTTTTGTTGCTTTTTCTTTCTAACCGATCTCGTTCAGCTGAAAAGATATGAGGATGATATGACGGCGGCACAGCTTATCCAGTGCCCCTCTTATGATGACTTTTCCCCATACAGCTAGCAAGTGTTGTTAACCATGTTACTGTCACTTGGCAATGCTTCATATTCCCGTTTTTGAAACATCTTTTATGTCTCAAGTCAAGTCAGGGATCGGTGAATTTACTTGCCGAAGGGCGCTAAAGAATTTAGAGTTCCAATGACAGGGCTTAGCATCACTGAAGAACAAGGCCTGGACCTGGAATCTAGACTTGAGCCTCTTCTCCTCTCGGCCAATAGATTGCCGAAACCCTCTCAAACATTTCGTCCAGACTCTAAACTCTCCGCCGTGTCAAACCTTGTCCTGACCTTCATCAACTCCAGTCCGTTCCTGACACTTCCCTCTCCTCTAATCAACAGTCCAATCTCTCCAGGATGGAACCAGTTCATCCAAACCAGCACAAGCAACATCAACATCCCATCAAAGACAAAAACCCAGACTTCACTACGCATCAAGTGTCCATCATTGCCCTCGATGAACTCAATCACCCTGAACAAACTGCGCACCCAGATCAGAACGCCTGTGACGTATAGCGTTGTGAGATATGTCTGCCATCGAACTTCTCCTCGTAAAGAATTCGGTGTTGGAGCACGACGCATGCGGATGTGAAAGACCAAGCTGACGATGATGAAGCAGCCAAAGAAGAAAAGCTGAACAAAAAGACCGCCGATAATGATCTTCTCGCCCATCTTGTTCAAGTCTGCAACGGCCATGAGACCACCACCTACAACCGTTAGCCGCCATAACACAACATCGTCTTGAAAGACTCACCAGATGATTGGAGCATAAACGATGCAACATCGCCAAAGACGAAGAGTTTAGTAAGCCATTTCCTCGGAATCAACGAATGATGTTCTCCATCTGTCAAGAGGATGATTCGTCCGAGGATCATGTAGATCGAGGCTGCGAAAAGTGCCGGTGCAATAAGGATCAAGACGCTTTGCATGATATACGGGCCCATTGACCAACATCCTGGCTCTTCATTCGTGTTCAGGACTCGTCCGATATATCCGATGACCTCGCCTTGCAATTGTTAGTGTATATCTATCTTTCGTGCCGATCGGGGGTACAACATACAAACTCCTCCTATAACCAATGGTATAAGATACCATGTTTTAGTTCGCCAAAGTTGTAAGACGTGTAGGAGTGTCGTTATTGCAAACAGAACAACAAAGACAATATTGGCTTCTTTCGAAGGTACGAATCGATAGAATGCCCATGTTGCATTTTCGTAGTCAGGATTGCAGTTCATGGCTGCGATGTCGTCTCGGATATTTCGGTCTTGGTCCCAAAGTTCAGAACAAGCAACGAGGATCCAATATTGTAAAGAATGAATACAACCAAGAAGTTGTAGTGCTTAGAACAGGAACCGCTGAACAAGTCAAATCATGATGAACTACCTAAAAGAAGGAATTACCACAGATTTATAAACAACCAACCCCCAAATTAACCATCAGCAACCCCTTACCAAGACCGCATACCATCTACACCCGCGTATTCACTTCGTACAAGACATCCCAAATCTCTAAACCTCCAATTAAGCATGAAGCTATCATCGCCAGCAGCTGAGCCTCAACGTCAGCTAGCTCAATCCATGCCCTAACAAGTTTAGTTCGCCCGAGTACGCGTACCGAAGCGCGTCTTTCCGAGTATTCGCTCCGGGTTCGGTTCCCTCCGTTGTTGCCTTCGCCTTGTCTTGTCCCGAAACCATGTGAAAAGCTGATGTCCTCCCTTTTCCAGTCTTTATTCATCTCTTTCTGTTAGTCTCGCATTGTTCAATCTCCTAAAAGCGAACCCGCGGGTTTGAGAAACCAACCGATCGGATAGAGTTATGGCTTCTCGAAGAACGCACACCAAATCTCGCACTGGCTGCTTGAACTGTAAGAGGCGTAAAGTCAAGGTGCGTATGTTCCACTACCATGTTTTTCCTTAACGCCAAAGAGCCAATGCGTGAATAAGCTGTAAACAAGAGCTAAACTAGCAACCATAGTGTGATGAAGCTCGTCCTTCGTGCTTCCACTGCAAAAGACATGGTGTAGAATGCAGTCTATCGTTGCCATCTTCTATCAATGAAAGCGGCGAAACCTATACTCCCAATCTACCAGACCTGACACCTTCAACTCCCGGCTCGCTGGAGAATATACAAGTTGACTCTCCTGCTCACTTCCAAGATTATACCCACCCCAGTCCCGCTGACCAAATTGCCCCCTTCCCTGCCCATGAGCTCTGGGCTCGCGACTGTGAACTAATGCACCATTATTGTACTGTGACTGCCGAAAGCCTGTCGATCCGAAAGGACTTGATATATGTTTGGTCGGTTGCCATCCCGAGATTAGGTTACCAGGACCCTTTCGTCATGCATGGTATTCTCGCCATTGCAGCCGCCCACAAAGCCTATATGGTTCCTGCAAGTCGCAAGACATATCTGCCATTGGCCGATTATCACCAAACTCTTGGGTCCGAAGGTTACCGTCGGCAACTCCAGAACTTCGATCCTTCTAATTGGATGCCTATTTTTGGTTTTGCTTCCGTTGTTGTGTTGCACATGCTCACTCTTTCCATGCGTTCGGAAAATGGTGTGCTTGAGAACCCCATCAACAATATCATAGAGGTAGCTTCCCTGGTAAGAGGCATCAGAACAACACTAGAGCCGGTGCTGGGCCGCATAGTCAGGACCGAGTTTGCTCCTGTCGTCTTTGGTATTTGGCCTCTGAATCACAATGAAGAGGCAGAAAGGTAACTGCATAGCTTTACCCATCCATGCTGCTGCAATGTTAACCTTCGACATAGTTATCCTTCGCTAGAGAACTCAGTCCTGCCTGTAGATAGTTGGGTAGCTCTCAAGAGACTTCGAGCCTTTCAAGAATCCGATATCCCTGCTAACGGTCTGCAACATTATGCGGCGGCCTTGGATAAATTGGAAACTTCTGTTAGGCTATTGGCCGCGGCTGGCGCACACACAGAGGCTGGCGCTGTTCAGTTCTGGCTGTATGCCATTGACGACAGTGTGCTGCTCGATTTTGCCGCACGCAGATCTCATGCTCTTCTTCTCTTCGCTTATTGGCTTGTGCATTGGGCAGTCCTTGAGAGAAAATTCTGGTATCTGAGAGGCTGGTCTCGGCAAATAATGAACAAGATAGAGGAAGCCCTGATCGGCCGGACAATGTTCCTCGAGATGTTGCACTGGCCTAAGCAGAAGGTTGCCGAATCCCTTGCATATACATGATACATGATATAATATACCCAGCATACGAGTATATACGAATAGCATACGAATAGCATCCATTGAAACTCAAGTATCCCACCTTTCAACTCAAAATTCTTTTGTGTCCGACAGCAGATTGGCTGCCATGTGACTATAGTTCTCTTTCCTCCAACGTATACTCATTACTGGTCGATATGAGCTGTAACGTAGTCCAAGAAGTGTTCTCCATCAGATTTCGGGTCATTTGCAAATAAGCTTCTCGACGGGCCAGAGAACAACCTTCTGCTATGCTCAGACCAGGTGGCTCTCTCAACGGGTATGCTGTCTCTTGCTCTTCATCTTCGGTTTCACCTTCGGTCTCATCTTCTGTCTCATTCTGGGAAATGTTGGAAAAGCTGCGCTTTTGACCAGAAGACCTTGGGGCTGGGTTATCAGGCAAACTTTCAGTCGGCTCTATACCATGGCGACCACCCTGTGAAATACCCTCTGACTGCGGGCCTGCTGATGTTCCACTTGTATGGTCACTTGTGTGGCGAGTTGGTGACCTCTCAGGTTGAGCAACTGACTCTTCGGCCGGTCTCCTTAATTCGACGACTATCTCTTCTTGGCAATCGCTGACTTGAGTGTCCAACAGCTGACTCACAAACTTGGGGGAGGAAATACTCGGACTTTGTTGTTGAGGGCTTTGCGGTTCGTCAACTGGTGAATTTGGAACACGGTCTGAATTGGTAGTTGTCTGGCTGTCGTGCTGTTGGTGCGGGCTATTCAACCCATGCGCAGTGGCAAAGGCTTGCATAAGTTTATCATGTTCAAAATCTTTACCGGAACAAAACCGTCCGAACAGATACCCAACAGTGATTCCTAGCATATGTCAGACATATCAAAGATGATGGTGTTCATGAAACCATACCCTTTCTAAGCCATTCGACAGGACTGACAGTGCACGGCCATACGTCTTTTGGACGGAAGGTGTCAACGAAGTGGCAGAGCTCGGGCAAGGAAGAATGCCTTGAATAAGGGAAATATATAGTCTTCGGCAATGCGCCCTCATGAATGGGCTTCTGGTTCTTGCTGCTTTTGCTCAGCCTTTGGATAAGCATAGTAATGATTTCATCGGCCGAATGTGTGCCCAAAGTGTCGAGGTCCCAATCCAGGGGTATGTTTCGGCCTGTCGACACTAGCTGGTCTAAACCCTCTCGAAGCGTATCTGACAAGTTAGTCATGGTCTCAGATGTAGTGAGGACTCTATAGGATATTAGGTTGGCCCAAGTATTGTTCATGCAGCACACTTACCGATTGAAAAGAGTGTCTAAGGTGGCTTGATCCAAGGATTCAAGCTCAGCTTCCCGTTGAAGGTCGTCCCCGCCCCCTCCAACTCCAACTTCAGCCAAGTCTTCTCCTGTAGATAGATGGGCAATTATGGGCTGAATGGACACAGTTGTAGGTCTTTGAGCCACTTCACACATGTTTCCCTTTTCACAACTATGCAAGCGGACATTGGTATCCGCAGTCAAACATCCTGGATGCGGTGTATTGCCACATAAATGGCCAGTCAAGGCTGGTGATTCAGGAGTCAAATGGATATCTGAATGGAATCGTGAGTTGGGATTCCTTGATTTCAGTGATTTGTATATGCACATTTTGTACTCGTCAACATGTATCTGGCTGTGTTAGATACTTAATAGTGTGCAATATGTATGAAGTTGGCCTACCTTAGATCTGAGTGCCTTAGATAGGGCAATCCAGACATCCTCGTAGCCGTAAGTCCAAGCTTGAAGGTGGAAAATGGTATCATCTGGGTAGGCGGAAATCTTTCTCAATAGTTCCGCTATACCATCTACTTTTGTTTGGAATGGGACATCGTCGGTGAAGGACGTATCGAGATATATCTTGTCGAGGCTTTTGAGGCCTGATGTGTATTCGACTAGACTGGGATTGCGGGCAACGGCGTTGACGAACCATGGTTCGCTCCGTATGTCTCCAGTGTACAAGATTGCTTTTCCGTCTCCTTCAACCACTGTTCGTCATTAGTGGGCTGGGAGATAGCACTTGTACTATTATCTTACAGAACATGACAGCCCCGGGGCAATGGTTAGCATCAAAGAGCGTCACTTGGATCTGCTGGCCTGGGCGAAGCTCGATGGATGTTGGTGCTTCCAGTGGTAGAGGTTTCTAGGAATGTTAGTATCAGATAAGCAGAAAATGAAGACACACACACACCAATATCTTGTCAAGATGTTTAAAGGTTTGATGCCTGGCTTCAAGAATGCCTTTTGCATAGTTGATTCTACATGGATATCTCTCAAGTTGTAAGAGGATCTCGCGAGTGGCCGCTGAGCAATATACACTTTTGATCTCTAGTTAACGCAGTAAGCCGAACAGATTCAGTACTCACAAAGGAGATTTTAGACTCTCTAGACCTGCGAGATGGTCACTATGGACGTGGCTTAGAAAGCATGCCAACGGTGGTGGTGCATTGGGATTCTTGCGAAAGAAGTCGACTGATAGACACTAATCAGAATTCAATGATCTCAAACAACCAGTCGAACTCACTTTTTATGTCTGGGAATTCAGAAACGATACCGTTGAATGTCGACATTGGTGGTATCTAGGAGCGCTAACACGGGCTCATTGAACAGGTAACAGAACAAAGCACGAATCCAGGAAGTATTCTCAGAACACCAACTCGTTAAACCGGCCTTCGCGCGTTAAAAATGGCTTCTTATGGCACTCAGAACATACTTTGTATGAAGGGCAGAAGTTGCTGAAGGGAGCTGAAAGTTGTGTTCGAGGTGTAGAAGGAAAGGGCAGTGGAGGGTCAAGGTCATTGCGCTCGCACTGTGATTCGTGATTAATTTGCCGTTGGCAGTTGCACCTGCACAGTGCTTACTCTATCTTACATGAAAAACACTGAGGCAATGATCGCGACTGCCTATAATCTTCCCGTTGACCTTCAACCAGTTTAGGCACAGCATGTTAATGTCAAACTTCAAGACACTTGCATCGTGAGGGCTTGGCTTTTAAAATACGGACTCGCTTTTTGCCCAACTTTTTGATTCTATCTCACCTAAATTGTGAGCTCATCAATAATCGCAGGATAACCGATTTCCGGTTTTTTTTTCAACAAATGTGCAACAGATGGGTTCAAGTGTGGCCACAGAGTACGAAGCACAAATGATATAAGGTTGTGCTTCGTGCCCTATGATCACACTTGAACCTATTTGTTGCACATTTGTTGAAAATACTAGAAATCGGTTATCCTATCTCATCTAAATATACAAACGAAATCATCATCTTCGTTATCGTCGTCATCATCAGAATTATTCTGCAACTGCACTATGCAGCAACAGACCTCCATTGCCAGCAGTAATATCCAGCTTCACGCCTTGAGAAATAAAGTAAACATGTCCCTCTCCCAGCTCAAATGACTTATCATTCGCCTTGACTGTGGCACTGCCTCGAGTCGCCAGAATGATCTTGGGACCGCCTTCACTCAAAGTTTCGCGCTCACCAGACTGGAGATCTGTAGCAAGGACGTTGAATTCGCTGGTAGGAGGCTTGAAGAGTTGGGTCTTGCCCTCTTTGCTTCCGGAGTACGTCTCTGGCTGAAGGGTGGTTTGTGTCTTGGTTGTGGACTCCCAGTTCAGCACTGAGCAGAACTCGTCGATGTTATCTCGCTCTGCCTTAGGGCAGAAACCAGTGTTGAGAACGTTATCAGAACGCGCCATGCATTCGATGATATCACCCTGAATGTAGGCGTGGATGCCACCCGCGGGGATGTAAATGACCTCGCCTGGCTGGAGGAGCATGTAATTCATGCATAGAAGAGCAACCAGGTTACCAGGGTCGTGTTCGGGGAACATGTCCTCGAGCTTCTTAGCAACCTGGGGAATGTGGGAGTTGAGACCAGTAAAGGCAGAGTCGGGGAGCTCCCTGATTGCCTCGAAAGTCTTCTTGATATCTTCGTCAGACAAAGTTAGAATTGTTCGGACGACCTGCTTCAATCCTTCGGGGCTAATCTTCTCATCGGCGACTGTGGCGCCTCCAGCAACAAGGAAGTGTCGCAGAGGCTTCTGGCGCAAGACATCCACGATAGCCTCAACAGGCTTGAATCCGCAGAAAGCTTCGAATTCGGACAGAGCAAGAGCAATCTCGGGCTTGTGATTGCCATCAGTGAACGAATCGGGATCCTCCTTGTGCTTCTTGCTCGAAAACTCCTTGTTGGGGTGAACTTGCAACGGCAATGCCTTGGCGATCGACAGAACCTTGGGCAGGTATGGCAACTTGCTATGTCCGAACTTGGAGGTCACTTTCTCTCCAAGAAGCTCCTTGGGGAATCGGTCCAGAACATCTTGAAGATCCTCGCCTGTGCTAGCGACGTAAGAGGGCAAGACAGGGTAGGTGCCCATCCACATTTCGGCGTACGGCTTATCCTCATCAATCTTGAAATCCTCCTTGCCATCTCCATCCCATCCTGGTGTCTTTTCGCAGAGTCGCGCGGACAGAGAGTTAGAGCCTTGCTTGCCCCATGGGTATTGGTTGCAGCCGCAACGGAGCTGGTAGAAGGGAGCTGCTGATGTTGACATTTTGCTTATTGATACAAAAGAATATGATGTTTTCTGCTATGTACTAGGAAGCTTTTTTAAAGCAGCTTTAAAAGTATGGTGAGGCGCAATTGATATAACGTTGAAATTCTATAGAATGGGTCGTCATCTTGTCATCACTCATCGTTGACGTCAGGCTGTATTGGTAATTGAATCAAGGTCGCACAATGCGAAGCTCTTTCAGCAGGCCCAGTGTAATTACATCACTTGTTGATTATCGATTCTGTAGAGAGCTACGTACAGTTCTCCGCAGCAGGCAGGCCAGACTTGGCATGGATATCATATCAGACGAGTGAATCAGAAGTAGCTTCCAAAAGCTCGATCCCGATGCTACCGGACATAGGCTCCGGCGATGACCCGCTTTTCTATGGCAGGTTCCGAAAATCCGGGACTAATTCACGGACGTATGGCGATCAACTAACTTAACCTGAGCGCGCAATTCGCAGGCATGAAGCTTTTGATATTGTCATGATGCATTAGTCCGCAGGTTGGATTATTTGAATTCTTAGGCTAGCCAGGCTAAAGCTGATTCTAATCTTATCAGATCTTGTTTGAAGGTTTCAATAACATTGGACAAATGACTAGGACATCCATATTCCATGACCGATCGGAAATGAATCTTAGCTTGTTAAGCATTATATTTACGCTGATTTAGCTTGAGTAAACCCTTCGTTGTCTAATTGGATCTGAATGTTTATAAGATGTGAGAATAGATAGCTACTACAGAGTCACTATTGTAAAAACAGTGCTACCCTACAGCCTTGAGCTGGGTCATGCTAGAACATACTACCTTGTCCGGATACGAGTGAAACAAAGAGCACTAATGGATTCAGCACTGTGATAAAGTAAGAGAGACAAGTAAACAGCCCTATGGATGGTTTCTGGAGTCACCGGCGTGTAGTGAGATACCCAGACAGGTGTGATAAGCATTTCCTCAAAGCGCCCCCCACCAAAGCAAATCTCCAACCATGACAGCCGAAAACCATCGCTATGCCTATTGCCATATAACAAGTGACAGTAGCATTGAAACTTGCAAGTGATAAAAACTTCAGCTCGGCAGTTTGAGTCCTCCACTTGGGCAACAAGAGGGGCACTCAATTGTAAATCGGTCTTGTGATGAAGAAATGCACATTATCGGATTGGTTTACCAGAAGAGAACCATCCCCGTCCTCAATTCGAATCACAGTCACTTCAATCGGGTGCTCTTTATACGCCGACATTTCGATGTAGTTTGCGGTGTGACAAAAGAGTCTTGGGGTTAGCTTAACATGGTCTGATGCAACGCTGCTCAGGTGCTGTGAGGGTCTGTCTATGATAATTCTCCAGTGAACCTTCCCATAAACTTATCAAGTAGCAAATATGTAGTCAACGTCTAACATAAATGATAGTACTATGATATGATCAGAATTATGCCCGAAATCATCATGAGACACTTATACGCATGTCATAACTCGACCTCGTGGCGCACGCTTCTGTATGTTAGTAAGATAGACGATGGGGTCGCATAACAGGCCGCGGCGACCCTTTGAGAGGGATCAAGACCCCTGCAGCAGCGGGCCGCTCAATACCACGGATTGAAGCGAGAGTCCGTGTTGGTTTTGTGAAGAGCTGACCAATGATACACAAAATGAGCGTTCCTGGCTAGGGTGAGGCCAGCGTCACTTGCATTAGCTCCAAGTCATCAGACGAGGGTCCTGATGTATGCGGAAGCGACGTTGGGGTCGAGATAGAAGTTGGTAGTTCCAACTGACAAACAAACAAAAGTTGGAACACAGCTTCTAATATGCGGCCAGTATCGAACTGACAATTGGCGGTGTAGGAAAGTCCAGCAGGTCATCTGATCTTTTCTTCGTGGAGAATATACGGATCCCGAACAAATCTTCGTGCATGAACTGCACAACGGATTGTACATATACAACATTCTGATTGGGTTGCAGCTCAAATGTGATATAGGTGCTGGAAGCGGAAGAAACAGTTCCGATCAATAGTCCCAAGCATGTGACATGAACCAAGGATACAAGGTAGACTATGTATTTGCTCTTCCTATAGTCGAACAAACGGTGGTTGGAACAGAAAAGGTCTTGGCTGACATGATAGTTGATGAGCTTCGATTTTGGCGTGACAATGTCACGAATCGATGTCTATAGGAGGACGACAAAAGCGCACGGATGATTCTCGATAGACATCAGGATTTGGATGGATATTGGACCAGAGCGCCAGGATGGATATGTTGAGATATTTCCAGTCTGTCTAGATGTAAATCGTGAATCTTGGTGCCTGGACATGGTGTAAGTAAGCGCATCAGCATATCGTACGCACCTACGCAATCTTCCATAGGCACCGATATTTCACATTGATCCACGCAACTTATAACGCGGCCCACGGGTATGGAGACGGACTTGACGATATGAACGGTTCGTGAGTGTGCGCTTGAGTCGGAGTGAGGTGAAGAAACTATGGCGGCGGTTAAAAGGTCGAGGCTTGGACAATCTTGGAATGGTCCATCTTCAAGATACGGGACGTGAAGTGGTTTGCAAGGCACCTGAGCGATGTTACTGGTTGTAAGATATTGGGCCTAAGACGGTCCGTCAGGCGGTTGTTAATGCAGTCAGGCACTAAACGGTCGTTATGGTGTTGGAGTGGAGATGGAAGCGGCGATGAGACGGCAACGGGGATTAACGAGAGCCAGTGATGATGGAAGATGAATAATTGTCGCGGATACTGTAGCATCCAGAGATGTGAGTCGTGAATATTCAACGTGGTCTCTTGCGATTAAGCTGAATTAAGTATGGAAACCATGACGGGTACCTCCTGCTTGCTGTGGTAACTCGGGTCGTGTCCAGAATCAGAAGGTGCCTCCTTCCATTCAGAAAAACATGTCTCAATTCTAGATTAGCCGCCTGACTTAATACAAATGGTCTGGACTTTTATCCGTCTCGTCAACTAAGAATTGCGCTGTTTTCGCTCGTTCTCAACCGCTTGCAGTGAGGAACCATTAGGTGCTGTACTGGACGACCTGGGGACATTTACCGCGCTTCGAGACCCCCCTGGAGCCATTTCGTCACCGCCGTACGCCAACTGGGCCTGGCAGACCCCGCTCTCCGACGACCTCGACCTCGACCTCAACTTCAATCTTCAACTCCCCTTGACTGACTTGTCCCTGTTCATCCCTCACAACCTCTACGGGACGAGTCATTATCGAAAGTGGTGTCTTCTCTGGACCACCAACTTGTACCTCCCAAGGTGGTACCACGAATCCACGGTCCCTGCCAACAGCGCAGCGCAGCCTAGCTGCATCTACAGCAAGCTTATTTGACTCTGGACTTCTAGCTCTTGACTGGCTTCATAGCTTATCCCCCGCTACGGCCCCCAACTTATTGCCTGACGACTCGACCCGCCTCTTAATCCCGCCGCTGCCACGCACTTCGAACCAAATACATCGATCAGGTCGCATTGCACGCGGCCAGTCGTTAATCGATCTTGACCCTCTAGGACAGATCTGTCTTTTCCTCCGCAGGGTCATCTTACTCGACATATTCTGCAACCATTAGCTGCATCTGCATCTGTGCAACCGATAAGCTTGGAGCTCTGACACCTCCGCGCGAAACCGTTGCATAACCCTTGGCTCTTCGCCAACGCACTTGTTTTCTCACCCGTCTCGACCAATTGCTCCCCCGAACGCGCATATCCGCTACGCTACCTGTCCTTTAAGTGCCTGTCATGGCGCAGTCTCCGATGATCTCGGTGCCTCTCAAGGCTACTAACGAGATCGACTGGGTCGAACCTCTCAAAGGATACATCCGCGACACTTATGGCGACGATCCCGAACGTTATGCAGAGGAATGCGCTACGCTGAATCGTTTGAGACAAGATGTGAGAGGTGCTGGTAAGGACAGTACGTCTGGAAGAGATATGCTATATCGTTACTATGGACAACTGGAGCTCCTCGATTTACGATTCCCGGTAGATGAGCAGCACATCAAGATATCCTTCACATGGTTAGTTCTCCCCAGGTCCACACCTGGCATGAGACAGTACGCCTGGCTCCTTGCCGACTCTCACTAACTTGCCATATTCAGGTTCGATGCATTCACTCACAAGTCTACTGCTCAGTATTCACTTGCTTTTGAAAAAGCTTCCATCATCTTCAATATTTCCGCGGTTCTCTCCTGCCATGCTGCTGCCCAGGATCGTGGTGACGAGTCCGCTCTTAAGACTGCATACCACAACTTCCAAGCCTCTGCTGGCATGTTCACTTACATCAACGAGAACTTCCTTCACGCGCCATCTTCCGATCTCAGCAGAGAGACTGTTAAAGCCTTGATCCATGTCATGCTCGCGCAAGCCCAAGAAGTCTTCCTTGAGAAGCAAGTTGCTGATAAGAAGAAGATTGGGCTGCTTGCTAAATTGGCTTCCCAGGCTGGCTACCTGTACAGCCAAGCTCTCGAAGGGGTGCAAGAGAATGTCACCAAAGCCATCTTTGAGAAAGTTTGGTTATTGATGGTCCAGGTATGCAGAGCCACCAGTATTGGATTATGTACCGACATTGAAACTAACACTACTAGATCAAAACCAACCTTCTCAACTCCATGGCACAATATTATCAGGCACTAGCGGATGACGAAGCAAACCAGCATGGCATTGCTGTGGGACGACTACAAGCTGCCGAGGCTCAAGCAAAGGAAGCCGAGCGTCTTGCGAGGAGCTTCCCTAACTCTGTTCCCATGAGCTCGAACCTCAGCGCCGATTGTGGAGGATTTCTCCAGGAATTGACCAAGAGACATCTATCAACAGTTTCAAACCAACTACAGAGTGCCTTGAGGGATAACGATTATATTTACCATCAAGAAGTACCCGCTGAAGCGAGTTTGGAAGCTGTCCCGAAGCTTCCTGCCGCAAAGCCCATTCCCGTCAGCGAGCTGTATGCCGGTCAGGATATTCAACGCATTACTGGACCCGATCTTTTTGCGAAGATTGTGCCGTTCGCCGTTACGGAATCGGCGAGTTTGTACGATGAAGAGAAGGCCAAGTTGGTGCGGGCTGAGGCTGAGCGAGTGGACACAGCCAACGGCGAGATGGCAGCCAGTTTGGACTATTTAAGGCTTCCGGGTGCATTGCAAGTTCTAAAGGGTGGGTTTGACCAGGATATTCTGCCCGATGAGGACTTCCGACAATGGTGTGAAGATGTTTCCGACCAGGAGAACCCGGTGACTTTGTTCGATTCATTGAAGACCGAAAAGGACTCTATTCTCACGATTTTGGACAAGAGTACAAAGCAACTCGACATGGAAGAGGGCGTATGTGAGAAAATGCGCTCCAAGTATGAGAACGACTGGACCCAGCAGCCAAGCTCTAGATTGACAACGACGTTGCGGGGCGACATCCGCCACTATCGCGAGGCTTTGGACGAAGCATCGAGGAGTGACAACCAACTGGCGGGTAAACTGCGACAGAATGAGATGGACTTTGACGAAATGCGACGGGCTGCTAAATCGGGCGAAGTTGACCAGCTTTTCCAACGTGCTGTGGCACAGGCACGAGCGAGAAGCAGTAATGCTACTAGCCCGGCCGGCATTGAACCCAATCTTTTGGATGATGATTTCGATGAAGGACCAAGCGTGGTGGATCAAATCAACAGAGTGGAGGATATCCTCAAGAAGCTGAACCTCATCAAGCGAGAACGCAATCAAGTGTTGAAGGATTTGAAAGAAAAGGTGAGTGGAATTAGGAACACCCAGTCTGGGCGTCGAACTAACCTCGCTAGGCTCATAACGATGATATCTCACAAATTCTTATTTTGAACAAGAAGTCGATAGCCAACTACGAGCAACAGTTGTTCGAGCAGGAATTGGAAAAATTCCGACCTCATCAAAACCGACTTTTACAAGCCAACCACAAGCAGTCAGCTTTGATGAAGGAACTGACAAGCACGTTTAACAGACTGCTGCAAGACAAGCGAGTTCAATCAGAACAGACCAAATATGAGGCTATTCAGCGACAACGATCGTCAGTCATTAACCGATATAAACGAGCGTACCAGGAGTTTCTTGATCTGGTTGCAGGTTTGCAAAGTGCCAAAAACTGGTATGCGGAGATGCGCGAGACAGTGGAGAGCTTGGAGAAGAACGTGGATAGCTTCGTCAACAACCGTAGATCAGAAGGAGCGCAATTGCTCAATCAAATTGAGCAGGAACGGTCATTGAACAAAAACTCACAGGCTGAGATGGAACGCGAGAGACTGAAAGGGCTCATGGATCGAATGTCGATAGATCCAAATAAGTCATCACCGCAACCTCAGCAAAATCGACCAACACCCCCGGCGCAGTACCAGCAGAGTCAAGCTCCTCGATACCCTCAGACCAATTACCAAGGGCAATATGGGCAGCCGAACTCACCACCACCTCAACAGCAGACGCTGGGTCAACAACAAGCTTACCAGAACTTTTCACCGCCGCCAACAACAACCACACAGTCATTTGTACCGCCTCCTATCAATACTTTCGTCCAGCCTACATATAACCCTAGCCAGTATGGACGTACACCAGGACCTACATCGCCTCCCCCGAACCAAACGTCGTTCAATCTTGGAGGTTACCGGGGCCCCGCATCGCCACCTCCAAACCAGACATCATTTGGACAAACCCAATCGTTCGGCGGATATGGAGCGTCATCGACACCGCAGACACAAGGAGGCTACGTACCGCCCGGATTTGTGCCTCCTCCTCCTCCACCTGGACCACCACCACTGGGACCTCAGCAGACATTCCATTATGGCAACCAACCTAACAGCGCGCATCCAAACAGTGCTTATCCACATAGCGCGCATCCTCAGCCGCCGCAGCAACAGCAACAGCAGCAGCAGCAGCAGCAAAACGATCCTTGGGCTGGCTTGAATGCATGGAAATAATTGGAAGGGAAGAGCAAGGAGTAAACTCTTAGGACGAGTTTGGAGAATCATCTGGCTATGATATTGTCTAAACCTAAGAGAAGGATTAGGGTGCCGTGGAAAAGCTATGTTGAATTAGCACATTGCAATAGCAACAATAGGATCTGGGCTGGAGAGTATAGCAATAGACATGATTTTCATAAGGGCACTTTTTGGTCTTATCGTGATTATATGAGGCCCTCCAGTACATGAAGATAAGAGAATACCTACTGTAAGCTCGCCACGCATTCTGCCGAGGTTGTAGTCGCGGCTAAATATGGCTTGAACGATACGGTACTTGCTCTAGAGGCTACGCAGTAGTCTCCGCACCATTTTACCCCGATTGCCCGAACCGTCAACCCCAACTAGAATTAGACGCTATAACTTTTATGTCAAGGTTGCAAGTAATACAGGCCTTCTTAGAGGCTGTCGATGAGGATTTATGGAGAATTTCCCCGCAGAAACCAGTTGAGAGGTTGAACTGATCCCATCCGAACCGGTCGGATCCATTTCCGCGTCGTTCCCTGAGTATCCGCCGGTCAAGTCTCCGGCGCGTCGAGACGAGACATTCTTTTTAATCCTTTTGTATCTCTTATATTTCTTATACTGCTCTATCCCTACTATCCTCCTCTTAAGTGTTGATTATTCTGACTCTGGTTCAACTGACTCGTTCTTTGGGCAATATCTCACAAGACCTATCTAGACTATACCCTGTCGATCAAGAACCTATTTCGTCATTCATCCTCGGACAAAAGGCAACGCGATCAAATATCTTGTCCTCTTTCGCAATTGTAATAAACTCAATCGCATTTCTATACTTCAAAATCATATAAATCGTCAATATGGTGCTCAAGGGCGGCGAGGTTGCTGAGCACAACAGCGCTGATTCATGCTGGGTCATTGTTCATGTATGAAACAACAATATGTGGCGACTTACCGACTTTTGACTGACTTGAGTGTCGCGATAGGGTAAAGCATATGATGTTACAGAGTTTCTACCAGGTAAGAATTACTCAAAAATCATAGAGGATGGTTGAACAAGACTGACGATTCACAGAGCACCCTGGAGGCAAGAAGATTATCCTCAAGTACGCTGTATGTTAATCGCATTGAATCTCACATGCGTTATCTAACACAACACAGGGTAAAGATGCTACCAAAGAATATGAACCTATCCACCCTCCCGATACTCTAGACAAGTACCTCGATGCCTCTAAGCATCTTGGTCCCGTCGATATGGGCACCGTCCAGGAGGAGGCCGCGGAGGCAGACCCCGAGGAGGAGGAGCGTCTTGAGCGCGTTGAGCAAAAGCCTCTTTTGTCGCAATGCTACAACTTATTCGACTTTGAGGCTGTCGCTAGACGCGTCATGAGCAAGACTGCGTGGGGATACTACTCAAGTGCTGCTGACGATGAGATTGTACGTTGACTTCAATTGCAGAATGATTGAGTTGCTAACATTTGGCAGACAATGCGAGAGAACCACAGCGCATTCCACCGAATTTGGTTCCGTCCTCAAATTCTTGTTGACGTTGAACATATCGATTTCTCGACGACAATGCTCGGCACAAAAACTGACATCCCAGTCTACGTGACAGCCACAGCCCTTGGCAAGCTGGGTAACCCAGAAGGTGAAGTCGTTCTCACCCGCGCCGCAGCCAAGCACAACATCATCCAGATGATTCCCACCCTGGCATCCTGCTCATTCGACGAAATCGTGGATGCCAAAGCCGGTGACCAAATTCAGTGGTTGCAGCTCTACGTCAACAAGGATCGCTCTATCACCAAGAAGATCGTCCAGCATGCTGAGAAGCGTGGTTGCAAGGGCCTTTTTATCACTGTTGATGCGCCACAACTTGGTCGTCGTGAGAAGGATATGCGATCCAAGTTCACCGATCCTGGATCGCATGTCCAGGAGGGTACCGATACAGATAACAGCCAGGGCGCTGCGCGAGCTATTTCAACCTTTATCGACCCTGCACTGAGCTGGAAGGATATCGCTTGGTTCCAGAGTATCACCTCCATGCCCATTATCCTCAAGGGTGTTCAGCGTGTTGAGGATGTTCTAAAGGCAATTGACTACGGCTGCCAGGGTGTCGTTCTCTCTAACCATGGTGGTCGCCAGCTCGAGTTTGCGCGATCCGCTATTGAAGTCCTCGCCGAGACCATGCCCATCCTTCGCGAGCGCGGTCTCGAGAACAAGATCGAGATTTTCATCGATGGCGGTATCCGTCGCGGAACCGATATCCTCAAGGCGCTCTGCCTCGGCGCTCGCGGTGTCGGTATCGGACGACCTTTCCTCTACGCCATGAGTGCTTACGGTGAGGCTGGTGTTGCTCGCGCTATGCAGCTGCTCAAGGATGAACTTGAGATGAACATGCGACTTATCGGAGCGAGCAAGATCGAGGATCTACATCCTGGTATGCTTGATCTTCGAAGCTTGTTCCAGCACTCTGCTGTGCCATCGGATAACCTGTCGTCTACTGTGTACGATCCTCTGGCTGTGCCTGCGCAGAGACCCAAGGCTGGACCTAAGCAAGAAGCCATCAAAGCGAAGCTGTAGAAGACTTGTGCTTTGTTGATAAAGGAGTTGTTTCTGGACAATATTTGTGTCGGTATATGTAGAGTCGGGCTTAGACTGCACTGACCTGATAAGATGAGCGTCGAATTGTATAAACAAAAATATTGATAAATTTAACCTCGCTATGCAACATATCTAATTCATTACTCTTCAACCAAAACCCTATTCTTACAGACCTTTCATAAACTCTTGCAGTGACATCGGTTTTCTCACAGCATTATTTAATCCTTCATGATATGTCACCCACACCTTGCGTTCCTTTACTTCTTTCTTCGCTTGTTGACTGCTTCCAGTGACTTCAGCAAGTGATCGTGCCTCAATGATGCGACCGAAGAAATCACGCTTGATGAGCGTTGCATCCTCTGCATCTCCGCCGAGCGCGAGTTTCTTTGCATTCATAATCTTATCGGTGTTGAGCATCTCAACGTGTCCAAGAGGGTTGCCAGCTTGGAAGCGAGCCTGCCGAGCAATAGCTTCCCGTTCTATGAGTGTTCGTTTCAATTCCTGATCAAGGACTTGGCGAACCGCATATCGCGTAGGTGCTCCGGAGGGTAGAAGTAGTGATGCACCTGTCTCGAACGTGGACAAAACATCGAGATCCCTGTGATGAAGTTAGTTACAATCGTTTGGGAAAAGGAAACATGGGTTAACTTACGGTTCCAAGCGGTACACATATTGTGGTGTTCGATTGACCATCGAATCACTCTCAATTCTTCCCTTTTGCAACTCAATGCCAACCTCGGCGAGTACTTCAGCGGCACGTTTGACCATAGCACGCTCAGAGTCTTTGCGCACACTGGCCGTGGAACCTTGACTTCCACCCACGACAACAGGCTTGACATCTGGAGACACGATGCGCGCAAGGTACGGGAGAAACTCTGCAGAAACCTCTTCGGCACTGCGGAACGAACGCATCAATGTGGGCGGAAGTTGAGCTTGAAATGCCTGAAGTTGGGATCTGTTCTGTCGCTCTGCTTCAAAGGCTTGATAGTCAGCGCGAGGGCCAGAAAATGGCATCGGAGGAGCGTCATCCTCAGCATCACCACCCCATCTGCGATCGTAACCCTTGCCAGGGAAATATCGTTTGGGAGAAGCGAAGAGATGATGGCATGCTAGCACGGGTTGACTGAGATATTGCGCCAACTCCCATTCTTGACTGGCATAAAGACGAGATTGGCAAGTGTCATGGAAGTGCATCCATTCGTATGCTTGGTCAGGTTTGGTGAGGTAAAGATCATCGTTGAAGTCACGATTTGGATACTCAGCGAACACCTCAGTCATGATATGGCTGATTTCACCGCTTGTGTCGATCATTTGTCGAAGTCGCTCCATGGCATGTTTCTTTCGGACCTCGCCAAAGCCAAGCTCAGATTTTGGTTGTTCATGCTGAGTTTTGGTTTCCGAGAAATCCATGGCCTGTTTAGGAAAACCACCTCCTTCTTGGAAGAGCCTTGAAACAATATCCTTGACGCTGCCACGACCCAGACCACGACCACCACCAGAGCCGCTGTTGAGATCCTGGAGCACATTGCGCTCTAGCCATTGCCGAGTGAGACGGGCTGTGCCAGTTGGTGCAGATGCCCGAAATCGACCAGCGACCCATTCGCCAACCACCATAACACCGCGAAGATCACCCTCAACTGTGCTCTCAGCTCCCTTTTTTGAATCAACGCCGCTTGTCATGCCCCAAGCTGCCTCACAGATCTTTCGAGCAGCGTCTTTGTCGCAGGGGATGCCTTCATTCTCAAAGACCTTACTTAGTCGGTTGACGACCGAGTCCATGGTAGGCTTGCCAACATGGATGATCTCAGCCAAGTTGGATTGTCGAAGTGGTCGGAGAGCCGGGGCATACACGTCGTTGCAGATAAGAACCAGAGGGCGTAATAGTCTGAAGTCGTCGCCCTTTTTCTTTTTCTTATTTCCATAGTTGTTGGACGACGTGTTACCCGACTCGTTTTTTTGGTCCAGTAGCACCAGGTCTATCAAGGCCTTGACAAAGCCACCTTCACCCGAGCCTCCTGAGCCTGAGACGACACCGTCCACTTCATCCACCACAACGCAAGCCGGTTTGGCTAGCTTTTGCGGACCATTGGCGTCTTTGGTATTGCTGACTGTCTTGACGCTTTCTGTTCCCAAACTTGTGCGGATGCGATTTTTGACAACGTCCCGACTCCTGTCATCACTGGCATTGATCTCCATAACTTCGTACCCTGCTTGTCTAGCACAAACATGCGCCAAAGTTGTCTTTCCCAATCCAGGAGGTCCTGTCAGCATAAGGATCTTCCTGTGAGGCTTCTCTTCCTCTTCCTGTTGCTTTGCGCCTGGCCGTCTTTGGATTATGGGCTGTGATTTTGATGCTCCTGGAAATACTACAGGATCCCATTTCTTCAACCACTTCAAGACCAGTCGGTTGGTGCGATCATCGCCACATAAGTCTAGGAAGCTCCGAGCTCGATATTTCTCCGTCCATAAAAGTGTCCGCTTCTGCCTTTTACCTCCGGGAACTTGAGGCTCGATCGATCGTACTGGCAGTTCAGGCTCTGGTGGGGCTTGCTTTTTGCTCTTGATTTCAGCAGAGGCAGCACTCATAAGATTGTGGATGTCAATCCCGTAGTAGCTTCGTTTCGCTCGTCCTTCTTTCGTTTTTGACCGAGCTGCAACCATCGCCTCATATGTAGGTGCAGAGGTTGTCTTGCGTTCCTTAATTGTCTTGGCTTTACCATTGCAAGCTGTCGCTGTGAAAAGCTCTGGCACAAGGCTACTAAAGATAGAAGACCCTGTAAAGATTGGTCTATGGCTAAGGCGCACCGGCTCTTGAATTTGTACATCGGGGGTGTCTTCGTTTCGTTCAGAATCAACAAGATCAACAATTGAATGCTCGTTTTCTAATGTCGTTCCTGAAGGCTTTTCTCGTGGATCTTCGGTCATTAGACGTTTCGTTGTACGGGTAGAGTCTGCAGCTTCCTCGTTATCATCGGAATCGGAATCGTCGTCCTCGACGAGGAATGGACCTCGAGCTTTTGGTTTTGGAGGGTCATGATCGTGGGGTTTAGATCGTTTTGTCGGAGGAGAACGAGGAAAATCAACAGGCGAGGACGCTGAAAGCATATTGAAAACCTTTTTTAGACGAAAAAGAGTAGTAACAAAACTTGATACTAAAGAATTGTCAAGATGATAGTGTAGGGGTGGGACTGGATTAATCTCCAGGGCGTCTCCAGGTGAGCGACGCGTCGGGTTTAATTGAGTCGCGTCTCGCCGTGTAAGTTAATTGAACCCCACTATTTGGCGTCCGTGCGATTATGTCAGCCGAGTGACTTGCATTTTGAACCTCCATGGCCGGACCCGTGATAATCCGGTGGGCGAGTCGAATTGAAGCCAAAAATTTGGCTCCAACAGCATAATCACGACGAGCCAGTTCCCAGCACCGTGGGCCTCAATCTGCCAATATGCGTCGGCCTACGAAGTATTACAGTCTTACCAGGCCGGTATGCTAATATGCTCCCTCAATTGACCTATTTCCGATGGGTCGAACCCCGCGAGGCGAATTTTCCCTTGCTAACCGACATACGATATAGAAACTCAGGCAATCATGGAACAAGTACAACTTGTTTAATATTGCCCGTGCGACCGGCCGTGAGCCACCAGTCAAGGGCCGAGCGACATTCTTCCAGCAGAAGTGGGCAGCCAAGTCGAAAACCCGAGGTTACCACGGCGAGCATGTTTCCGAGAAGAAGTGGGTGCGACTATTTTCACGACGACTTCAATCCGCCGTCGACCTTCCCCCCGAGTACCTTGCCGCCAACGATGGTGCTGAGCAAGCCGCTGGTCGTGGTTCGGGCTTGTCGACATCCAAAGTGACCGCCGAGTCTTACTCTAAAGTGCCTGGACCCAGCTCTGCAGCCCGCCCTCCTTCTCATCCGGCTCAGCGAAGTCGTGGCTTCGGTGATGTCAACGAGATGTTGTCTGAGCATTTCCAGAACATGACACCCTATATGCAAATGACCTTTGCACCTCTGGAGCGAAGACTGGACACAGCCGTGTTCCGTGCCATGTTCGCCAGCAGTGTACGACAGGCTCGTCAGTTTATCATTCACGGTGCTGTTAAGGTCAACGGCAAGAAGGTAGGCTACACAGGACTTTTATATTGGTCATGATTCTGACATTCTATAGATGGTTCACCCGTCATACGCATTGAACCCCGGTGACATGTTCCAAGTTGAGGTTGAGAAGGTTTTGTACGGAACTGGCGAGCAGAAGAAGCCTGGTGCTGTAACGGAGGATCGCACGAAGGAGCAGCTCGACCAGCAAGAGGAGGCTGTCAGACAACAAGGTCTTAAGAAGCGTTCAAAGATTCTGGATGCTGTGGCTGCTAAGGAAGGAGAAGAGGCTGAGTCTGCCGAAGCGAAGCTTGGAAAAGGATCGCGTAAGGGTGTTGAGCGCGAGGTGCAAATGCATCGCATCAAGAACCTTCGTCTAACAGCCCGAGAAATTCTAAAGGGCGATATGAGACAGCTATCGGCTAAGCAGAAGAAGGATCTGCGATTGTTCCGAGACACTGCCCAGCGTCTTCTCTCTCTCCGCCCGGACCGCGAGCTCGATGCACGGGAGCTCCTTGAGCAAGTCCAAGCTCAAATCAATAAGCTTGACACCGTGGAAGCTTTCCGCAAGGCCGACCCAGCCCCTGCTGAGGCATCGGCCGAGACAGAGACTTCGGCTGACGACAAGGCCACGAAAAAGAAGGAGGCACAGGCCAAGAAGTCGGAATTCAGGAAAAAGGTCCTTGAGGAGGGTCTTGAAAGCCTCACAACTAAGGAGGAGAGGGATCGGGCCATGAACATTCTGGCTACTGAGAACCTGACCAACGAGGAAATCCGCAAACTGGTCTTCATCCTCAAGAACGACGCCGAGAACCCTATCGACCACTCGAAACCCTACGTTACTCCCTGGCGCCCTCGCCCATTCATGTCCGCCTTTGCTTTCATCCCTCGCTACCTCGAAGTCAACCCCAACATCTGCGCTGCAGTCTATCTCCGCCACCCTGTGGCACGAAAGGGAATGGCCGAGGTTCCTACACCTTTCAGTTACTTGACCAACCAATTGGCTCATAACTGGTACTTGGGACGAGGTTAAATAAAAAGCGTTTATGTAGGTATAGTAAATTTTTGATGCCGGGATGACGGTTGGGAAGAGTTTTGGCTGGGCAGATGGCGTGCCTGTGTAATATACCACCTTTTAGAGTATACGGTAGACAGCCGGATGTACCTTGTATGTATCACCACTGTTAAAAGCATTCATATGAAGTGAATTGTATACTGTTCTGTGAAACCCTACTAGTGCCTATCAAACCTGCATAAGTACCTTATTTGCTTGCACGCTCTTCTCCGGCAATGTTCCAAATCCTGGACTATCACTTGGTAGTTCTGAGTCGGAAATGAGATGATCTACAACACCGGACAGACCTGCGGTACGTCTCATGCTACAAAGATATCTAGTGAGCGGGCTGTTGGGTCGTGTCAGGTAGACGGTAAGATGTCTCGGAGCAACAACCAATTTTCGGTTCACTGGCTGAGCTAGAGTTAGTATGAACATTACTCAGGTTTACGTCAACGAAGTTGGATCTCGGTTCAGCAGCCACAGTTTCGGAGCAAGGACCCCTAAAGGCAATAAAACCTGTTCTCGATTCTTCGACGCGTTGGTGGCTGGCTGCACATGAAAGTCTAATTCGAGAGTCCAAAGTACCAAGGTAAACACAAATGTGTAACTCCAATTGGTGGTAAAGCCATTAGATAGAGCATGGCTTCTGCTACAACCTCCTATGCTGCTCACAAGACCACTAAAACGCACACAGACTGATGAAGCAAGTATAAGGCTGCGTTATCTTTCCACGACACTAGAAATGTAGCCCGATAAGGTTCAGATGTGCCGTCCATGCACCTGGACTAAGGCATGCAATATGAACCAAACAATACAGCCCAAATGAGAATCTTCAGGAGCCACAAGAAGCACGGATGGGGATCCTTCAGTACCATGCACACGGATAAGATTGCAGCTCGAATCCTAGCCAAGGCTGATTCTAGACCCCTTTCAAACACTGCTGTTGGTTAATCTCAAGGGGATCTTCAGACCTTATCAGGACGGGAGGCCTGGTTCGCTAGATTACTATCAGCGACCCTGGGGCCCCAGACCTCCTCTGCCGACGGCCTAGGCTGGTATTATGTGCAGATCTAGAGCGGGGAATTGTGCGGGTGTCAGTTATCCATCCATTGTGCTGAGCATAGGTCAACTTTCATGTGATTGAAAGTAGTGAGACTTCATTGACTTCTGGAAATGTGGTAAACGTTCCATATCTTGACTGGTTTTCATTCCCTTCGAAAAGCCGGATATCGGAGCTATACCTTAAACAGTAACACCCTCAGCTGGAGACGATGTTGGAATAAAGTGGTGGCTCAGACTTACATAACGCCTTTTTCTGAGTCGTCAGAACTCAAGGGAAGGCGGGACCCCTCTACGCCCGTTTGAGCTCCTGCCTCCACTCCGACAGCTCCTGGCTGTCGCTGAATGTCTGTTCTTCCTTCTGTTTAACATTACCTTCCTGCCGTCGGGTTTTACCTACAATAGTAAAGTAACTGAAGAAGGAACTCTCGGTCAGCATTAGGTCGGGTCGAGAAGGAAGTTCAGCTACGCAACCAATTGCAACCACGGAACCGACTCAGCTTCTGACTGAGTTACTAAGAATTCCACCTCACCTCACACGCTGTCTTCTCTTTCGCTTCTCATTGTCTTCTTCACCTCTGGTCGCATCGCATTGGATCGCATATTCTGTCATATCATATCGCAAATCATCTCATTTAGTCAGGCGCCCCCGGACTGTCCTCGGACTCACCTCGTGGGCCTGCCCGTCAATTCGACAAACGAGACATCTTTAATTTCATCCACCAGCCAGTCATGATTAGTTACTCGATGCTCAACCCCGGGATGGAATAGGCATATGAAGGACCATAAGCTCATGCTGCAACTTTTTGGAAATCTCCATCGTTTCTCGTCATTAACCCACTGCCGAGCCAACAGCAATCGACTTATCTTCGCTTAGCTCGAGCCAAGTATTGATCCCCGTTCATCTCGAAGCACGATTGCGTCCCACACAGTCTACTGAGTGGGCCTGACGACCAGCGCAGTCACTCCAAAGATCGTGTCATATCACCTCACGGAGTGTCAGTTCTTAGGATTGACTCTTAAATCTTGACTTTGGCCTTTTATTTTATTTGCGTGCACCGCCATACCCGGACCTCGCTTGCTCAATAACACCATGGAAGAGCCGCGTACCAAAAGCACAGCGCAGTCCGGGCCGTCGGCATCAGCCCCAAGCGCAACGCGTAAAAAGTCACGCAGAGGTGCCGATGCTGCCGGTCAGAAAAGGCGATGTGTGAGCACAGCATGCATAGCGTGCCGAAAACGCAAGTCGAAGTGCGATGGTGCTCTTCCTAGCTGTGCTGCATGCTCAAGCGTGTACGGAACTGAGTGTGTTTATGATCCAAATTCAGATCATCGCAGGAAAGGCGTTTACCGTGAAAAGGTTGACAGCATGAAAGCACAAAATTCAACGCTGCAAATTTTGATCGAGGCCATTCTGAACGCTGAAGAGGAGGATGTATCCGGCATTGTTCAGAGAATTCGTACCTGCAATAGTCTTGACGCTGTCGCTGAAGATATCATCAAACATCAGCAACACCAGCAGCAAATACCACAATCGGAGGTGCCGCCGGCCAATGACGATTCTGATGATTATGAACAATCCACTGAAAACTATACTACCGATCAGCCCGTGCAGGGCGAAAGAGATCTAGCTCGCAAGATGGGCGAACTCAGGCTCGAGAATGGCAATGTTCGCTTCATCGGAGGCACCTCTCATCTGATTTACTTGAGTGACCCAACTCATGAAGGAGAGCTCGAGCCAAATTTTGATGATTATACCACGGGAGAGGACCCCATCACATCCTGGACTCGTGTCACCCAAGATTCCCAACTCATTACTCACCTAATCAATATGTACTTCGATTGGCACTACCCCTATTTCACAACCCTTTCGAAGAAAATGTTCTTCCAAGACTTTTTGAGGGGCAAAGCCGGACTGGGAAGAGGAACTGCATACTGCTCCTCTCTCTTAGTCAATGCCATGCTCGCATTAGGTTGCCACTTTACAAGTGTAGCTGGTGCCTATGGTACACCTGGAGATAGTAGGACAAAAGGCGATCACTTTTTTGCCGAAGCAAAACGGCTGATTCATGAAAACGACGAGTACGAGAAGCCTCGCTTGGTTACCGTTCAAGCATTGGCCCTTATGTCAGTGAGAGAAGCTGGGTGTGCCCGCGAAGCCAAGGGCTGGGTTTACAGCGGCATGAGTTTCCGCATGGCTGAAGACATTGGCCTTAACCTGGACGTAGGCCAGCTCGACAAAGAACGAATGAGCGATTATGAGATTGATGCCAGGCGGATCACATTCTGGGGCTGCTATCTATTTGATAAGTGCTGGTCGAACTATCTTGGCCGGCTCCCTCAAATACCCAAAAGTTCATTCAACGTCTCCAAGTTCGATGTATTCCCCGACGAGGATGCAGAAACATGGTCACCTTACACGGACAATGGATTCGATCAGTCGTCTAAGCAGCCGGCACGAACACGCGCCATTGCTCTTCAGATGTCGAAGCTTTCCGAGATCAGCAGCGATTTGCTGACCTTCTTCTACCATCCAAGTAATATTGGCAGGTCTAGCGGCAAGGCCGTGGAGCTCAAGAAGCTGAGTGAATTGCATCGTCGTTTGGAGGAATGGCGAAAAGAGTTACCAAAGGAATTCGAGCCCAAGGATGGGCAATTACCCAATGTGCTTCTCATGCAGTAAGTGATGCCTGTGCCATCTCATTGCAAATGTCTGACCTTGAACAGCATGTTCTTTCACCTACAATACATACACCTTTTCCGGCCCTTCTTGAAATATTCCCCTACATCCTCACCACTTCCACCCCATGTTTCACCACGTCGCATCTGCACAGCAAATGCTGGTGCTATCTCAAAACTTCTACGATTGTATAAGAAACTCTGGAATTTACGACAGATTTGCAATATTGCAGTATATATGGTGCATAGCGCATGCACAATCCATTTACTAAATCTTCCTGAAAAGACTGCTCGAAGGGATATTACTCATGGAGTTAAGCATCTCGAAGAGATTGCTGAAGATTGGCTCTGTGCAAGGAGAACCTTGAGCATTTTGAGCGTTCTTTCTCGAAAATGGAACTGCGAGCTTCCAGAAGATGCCGCATTTGTTCTCCATCGGGCCGACGAGAAGTATGGAACATACAGCACCTCTGAGGTTCCATCGCCTCATTCACAAGCGGGCGCTTCGCCTCTTTCTGATGGTGGTCTGGGAGTGAAGGCAATGGGCGAATACAGCCCATTTCCACAGTATAACCGGGCCCAACTGGCTAGACCAATGCAACAGCTTCAGCAACAGCAACCACAGCACCAGCCTCAACGATCTGTGACGGAAGCTATGATGACAAGCTCTCCATTACCGACCAACATTCTTGCTCAGCAACAGGGTATGCCTATGAATGGAGGCAATGGGGGTTTTGGTTCCGAGACTATGGGTGGATGGACTTCTGTGCCTGTTACATCATCGATGGCAGCTTACCAGTCGGCATTCGCACCCATAAACCGCAACAGCATGGGGAACTCCGGCACAGGTGTTCCGCCTGTCAGCAATCCTCCAACATCTAACCGGTCGATGAGGATGGATGGCCAAGAATGGTTCTTGAATGACAGTGCAAGGTGGCATCAGAGCTTTGAGGCCTGGCAAATGGCCAACAACGGACAGGACAATTCCGTCTTCATGTTTGGCGATAGCGGCAATCGAGACACTCCGAACTCCAACGCAGACGGGAACGCTAGTATGCAAGCCGACACCAGCGATCAGATAGCCGCGTTGGACGGGTTAGGGGCGTCATTATCCCGGGGTGGGTGGCTTCCGGGCTTAGATTAAGGGGTTTGGGTGACTGTGACTCCCTTTGCACTCATGTACATACTGATACATAAACGAACAGCGACTTGGATTAAGACATTTCGGAAAGCTATGAGGTCACAGAGTTGATCATAAGGACTGTAGATGTGGATTCCACAAGCAAGTATTCATCTTTAAAGCCTTGGATCTGTGTTGCATGGCTAGGCGGATGGGTATAATAGAGGTCAACCAAGGTAGCAGCCATCGACTATAATATGAGGATGTAAGTAATAACCGGCTCAGCTCTCCGTAATTCAGCTGGATTCTCCGCATTTACCGACCTGAGATTCAGGCGGTCACAGGTAAAGTGGTTGTTATACAAGAGGGTTCTATAGCGTTAAATTGAAGGTTGAAGGGTGCCACACGATGAAATGCTCCTATATTCAAGCTTCGAACCTGACACAGCATAGAAGGATGGGTAAGAAAATCCACGTGGTATCCGGGAACTAGGGACGACAGAGCACGCATGCGCACGCTGCAACGTGAGATTGAGGGTTTAAGGTGGTGTCAACTAAGGTTTCTGTGGAGGGGGCCGGTGGTCTTTGTAAGGGTCAGGTCATCATCTCATCTCATGGAGCCGTTGGATGTGGCCGCGGACGTGGACTTTTAAAACTGGGGGAAGCTGCAAGGAAGCGTTGGATGGGACGAGAGTGTGGGGGAATCGGGCCGGCAGTCCGTTTTACTATCGGCGCCACAGCAAGCCATTCCGATGGTGGACGTCATGAGGGGAAGAAGACATCTCATCTGAGTCTTGGTCTGAGTTTGTCTCTTGAATTTTGAGTCTGATTAGACTTGACTCTGAAGATGGATTGAAGGATGGAGAGATGGAGTCGGGAGAGCTTGTCCGTCAACGATTGGCGAGATAACCTACGGGAGAACTAAGTAAATTACAGCGTAGGGGCAGGCAATTCAACCCTTGATACGGAGTAATACAGTACAAAACTGGACTGGCAGGGTTGGTGAACGTAAACAAAAAAGAAAGACATGTGGAGAGCGGCCGTTCACGTCGCGGTCAGAATAAACCCTGTCTCAATGCCGTGTCTGCGTGTGTACAGTACAACTGTAATTATGCTGGAGCCTGGGGATGGCATACAGTACATTTACATTACATTACATTGCATTGGATCCTTGGACGAGTCTAATCCGCGCTTCCGGTGCAAGTTATGACAGGGCTTTGTGCAATATAATTGGTGCGCGAATGCGGGCGCAAATGCCGGAATAACTACAGGCTACCGACGATATAGTCTAGCATTGGGGGGATGACGGGTTACACAAAGAATGGAAGTTCCCTGAAAGAGGAAGAGAGCAAGAGATGAAATATGGTAATCCCCGATGTCTGGGACAGTTATGAGTCGTGACGAGGACAATGCAATCTCTTTAAGTTGCCCTGGCCTAGGTTTCGGTTTTCGGTTCGGAACTGGAACGGCACAAAGAACTAGGACTGGGACTGTGAACTTTCAAGGTCAAGGACCAGGGTAGAATATTAGATCTAATAAGATTCATTCAAGGTTTCCCATGACAGGAAGTGTTCACCGTACTGTTAGTTTGTAACAGCCGGACAATGTATTAGTCTAACGTTAGCTTAAAGCTCGTGCAGTTTGTAGAATAAAAGTTCCAATTGTTTGTACCCAATTGAATTAGCTCTGCATTGGAAGGTGCGGTCCAATGTCTGACTTGCTCTTTCTTAGTCTGTCTCGTTGGGCTCGATCTTGAGAAATTGGGGGGAAAGAACGAACCCCCAAGTACAGCACCTACCTAAACTAGCAACCGTTAAGGAAGGCGCATCGTTAATTAATCACCTGGGCTGGGGTTCGCTACGATTACCTTTTGTGCATAGGCTTCATTCCAATTTCTCCAAGACTCCATCATCAAGACTCCAATGGCTCACATTCATCCACACTTATCACATACATGTACATGACAGGACATGACATGGCAGAGCAGAGCATGGCATAGCACATGGCGTGCGTCGCGCACATACACCACTCTACTGTATGTACGCACGTACTGTAGTATGCGCTGTACGCAGGGGGAGTTCATCATGAAAATCAATCGTCAACTTTAGTGTCTGGACCACGAAAATCCGGGGAACCGATAACAATAGGAAAGTCCCAAGACTCTCTTTTTTCCTCTATCCACACCACCCGTTCGTTCCTTGTCTTGCTTTCATCCACTTTGTGGATGCAGTGCAGGCAATGCACAACAATGCAATGCAGAGCGGTGCATCTACGGCCATAGTTTCTTCTTTCTTCTCTGTTGTTACCCGCTTGCGGAACGGATCGCAGGCCCTGGAAACGAAGCCCCGACGATCCTTCATCATCCTATGATTATCCCATCTTCCTGAGAGCCGTGCCTCAACTCGAGTAAGCTATGAAACTTGGCGCATCTGATCTGATTTTCAAACATTAGACTATAGCACTGAGAAAACAAGAGTTTGTCTACAAGCCGCTCTGATCTGCCGTCCATCAAGCTTTTCATTTCACCTCCTGTTGGACTCATCTCATAGCGTCAAGCCTCGGTTATTCCTGGGCCGAGCCCCAATGAGCCTCAGGATTGGCGGCCACGCGGTGGACGCCACCAGATCCAACGACCCTTGCCCCATCCGAGGCTCACAATGACAGAATAGAGCCACAGACAAGCTCATCAATAACATCACCAGTGTCCAACAAAGGCAATGAACCGTTGCTCGCACGTCAGCACCTGCCAGAGTCTGCCAGATTACCTTACAGCTCCTTACCTAGAACGGCAGTCTGGCAATCATATGAGAAAGCTCCTCATCCAATTGATGGACGGGTCAATAAGATGAGATCCTGGGGATGGCTGCCACCTTCTTTACTCGACTTTGACCGTCTAATCTATCATGACAATTTCCCCAGGTTACGTCCGGTCCGGACTTTGATCGTTATTTGTCTCGAGTCACTCTCAAATCAAGTCAAGTCAAGTTTTCACCGGTTGAAATAAAAGAACACGTCTCGAACATGGACATGGGCACCCCAGCCTTGGCTGTGACTGTCATTAATTCTTTTCGGAAGAAGCAACCGACAAGGGATATAGTGCCAGGGTAAGGAGTGGCTCCCAGGGCTCCCAGCGCCAGCACCCCATGGCACAAAATCCTCCACCTCTTACACCACTCCACATCTGTTCATCAACCCACCTTCGGCGGGACCTCGCTCAACTAACTTAAGCTAGGCCTTTACTTCCCCGTACGGAGCAGTAAGCGAACCATTTGGCATGCGGCAACTTCTTGGGGCATGCTGGACCTAATGTAGCAAAATGCACTTCCCCATTCTCGACCCAGCCCGGTCCTAGCCCGACATTTCAGTCAGTCACGAGTAGCATAGCATAACCGTCGATGGGGTTTGGGGTTGTGGTCTTCTCCAGAAAAACAAAACGCCCGTTGTCTTTGACCTTCCTTTTTGTTACTATCAATTTCTTAAATTGACTTCTGTTGTTGGTCAAGGTTCTTCCAGCATATCCATCTTACTTCCTTTCGATCTACGTGAACACCTTTTTTGATCTCAAAGTCCCCAAGATCTTGAGTTATATACGCACTCAGACTCGCTCGACAGCTTCCCCGAGGATCCACTTGTCAGTCACTCAGCAACTTTCTGGTCTGACCTGACTTGACTTGAACTGGACCTTTTAAAACGAACCAAAAGGTGACGAATTCATAAGAAGGATTTGTCCTCAGAAGCTCAAGTTGTCGAATCAATTGCAACCACAAGGACGATCTTGCCCTGGCATACAACACTCTTCATCAAGCACCCAGTTAGATCAGGAAGTGCCCTCGACGTTTACCGCAAATCGCAACGCATCTGGTAATTAGCTATTTAGCCGGTGCCTTGACAGCAGCTAGAGCTCCAACGACAAGGGTCTTGTAAGTATGGATGGTTTCTTTTGGTCCCTTCATGCCGACTCCGTTACCGTCTTCTTGAATCCGTCTGCTCTCCCTGTCGAGTGTCTACACACTTTCTTACACGAAGACACCCTACCATCTATACGAACAGGGCACTACCCTCGAAACCCTGTGCTCATCACTCCCTATAATGCAAAGGTGTCAGATGCCTTGTCAATCCCACAGCGGTCCCCCGCTCCCCGAGAAATTCGCCCCCTGATACCAACACGCGTTGATCTTGCTCTGTTCCGATACCTCTGCAACCCGCCTGCAGCCGTCATCAGACTCAAACCCCTGTTTACTTATATCTAGCACTTCCCCATAAACTGATTTGAGTTCTGCCTGCAGCGAGCTAAGCTGACCATGTTTATCAGAGAAGCTGTCCCCGTCATCTCAAGGAGAGGCGAATAGCTTACAACAATTCGATTACAGCTACTCGAACCCACAATTATCTCAAACAGCTTCCGCTCACCTTGCGGTAGAGCGCGAGTACTGTCAAGATGTTGTCTAATCCACTCCAACGCTTCTCACCCTACCAGAACATCACCTCATCCAACATCTCACCTGATGGGAGCGTCCAGCAAGGCACGATGCAGAACGGTGGCTTAGACTCACTGCAGAGCCATCAGTATCCGATTCAACCTCTCTCGCAGGCTATGCCTCTCTCGAACGGCCATCTTGAAAGATCCGCTGGTCAAGTAAAGAACCGGCAACACCCTTATGGGGTTCACCCGCGTAACGGTAGCACCTCCGGACCCATCAGGAGAAGAATCAGTCGAGCCTGCGATCAGTGTAATCAACTTCGAACCAAATGCGATGGTCAACACCCTTGTGCGCACTGCATTGGTAGGTTTTGAGGTCAAGGCATTAACGTCGTGTTTCTGACTTCTGTAGAATTCGGCCTGGGGTGTGAGTACATCCGCGAAAGGAAGAAGAGAGGCAAGGCATCGAGGAAAGAACTGGCCCAGCAAGCTGCGGCTCAAGCTGCTGCCGCTGCCTCGGGCCAGAGCATCGACGACTCTCTGTCCGATAATGGTCAGACCAGTACTAAAGGCCTTGACTCTTCAAATATGGGCCTAGAACAGCAATCGAATGACCGACATCCCAGTACTAGCAGCAAATCAAGCAGAGATCCGGGCGACGAAGTAATGCGACACACGCAAGGCCTCGAAGGTCTAGACCATCTTGGCAACATCAACGAGCAACCACATCTTTCTCGATCTTCTCTGGATGGCGAACACATCGAAAATAACGGAGGTCTCGATCTCAACGGCTTCGGCGGGATGCCACACGCATACGATTCGCAAGGCTTAGAGGGTCCCGTGCTTAACGGTCAGTCTTATGCTCCTAATGGACGAGGAAACATGCCTGGATATGCCGAATTCCCATATTCGATGCAAGCTCAGAGCCCACCCAACTTTAACAACGGTTCTGCATTCCGAATGGGAAATAGCCCATTGGGATACTCGATGGGCAAAGGAACATCTCCTGGATGGGGGATTTCCATGGCTTCACCCACAGGCCAATATCAGACACAAGCTCCTGCTCCCAACTTTAGCAGTTCGAAACTGCGGTATCCCGTTCTTGAGCCAATAATTCCATACCTCAACAACATAATTCCGATACCTTTGGCTTGCGATCTCGTCGATCTCTACTTTGCTTCTTCATCGTCAGCGCAGATGCACCCAATGTCACCTTACGTCTTGGGCTTCGTACTCCGAAAACGATACTTCCTGGATCAGACAAGGCCAAGACCTTGCCAACCCGCACTCTTGGCAAGTATGCTCTGGGTTGCCGCCCAGACCAGCGATGCTCCTTTCCTCGCCAGCACACCTTCAGCACGCGCCAAGACTTGCCAGAAGCTCTTGGAGCTTACAGTCTACCTCCTTCGACCTCTCATCCACACAGCACCCAGTGATGCACCCAGCCCTGTTGCCGATGGTGTTGCTCTTGGCGGTCTAGGTGTAGCTATGCCTGGATCGATCAGCATGGAAGCCACGAGTGGCGAATCTGGACCTTTTGGTGCGGCTGGCAGCCTCGATGATGTTATCACATATATTCATTTGGCGGTTGTCGTGTCTGCTAGCGAATACAAGGGAGCGAGTATGCGATGGTGGACTGCTGCTTGGGGTCTCGCCCGTGAACTCAAGCTGGGCCGCGAGCTCCCTCCTGGACCATCTCCAGCTGCGCAAGAGGCCATGGATACTGATAACGCCGAGGATGCTGAAGGTGGCATCAGCGGAAACGGTTATGTAGGTGAAGAGGAGCGCGAAGAACGACGCCGGATATGGTGGCTTCTATATATCGTCGACAGACACTTGGCGCTGTGCTACAACCGCCCCCTATTCCTCCTTGACATTGAGTGTCAAGGTCTGTTACAGCCCATGGATGATGCGGTGTGGCAAAGCGGCGATTTCCTCGGCAACTCAAATTCAACTACGGATCCCAACCTTCTAGGAACAAGTCCAGAAGGTTACAGAACCGATCACGTACAGGCTCACGGACCTCAATACGAGTGCCGCGGCCATAGCATCTTCGGATATTTCCTCCCCCTGATGACCATCTTGGGTGAAATCGTCGACTTACACCACGCAAAGAACCACCCCCGATTCGGTACTTCTTTCCGCCAAGGAAATGAGTGGAATGCCCAAACTGCTGAAATTACTCGACATCTTGAGATTTATGAGCAGAGCTTGCAATCCTTTGAGCACAAGAATCTGCCTCGACCACTAGAGGAGAGAAACGACGCGGCAAATGACGGCAACGACCGCTCAGGGGTTCCTGAGACGAACACGCCGTCAGTTCACTCTGTGCATACCAATACATCAAACCGACTTACAGAGAGCAATATCCAAACTCGCATTGTGATTGCATATGGAACCCACGTGATGCACGTTTTGCATATCCTCCTCTCTGGCAAGTGGGATCCTATCAACTTGCTGGACGACGAAGACTTGTGGATATCTTCCCAAGGGTTCATTACATCAACAAGCCACGCTGTTGCGGCAGCTGAGGCAATCAACCAGATTCTCGAGTTCGATCCTGGTCTGGAATTCATGCCGTTCTTCTTCGGTATCTACCTCCTTCAGGGGTCGTTCTTATTGCTGCTTATCGCAGACAAGCTTCAATCGGAAGCATCACCCAGTGTGGCAAAGGCATGCGAAACAATCGTGCGGGCTCACGAGGCATGTGTCGTGACTCTAAGCACAGAATATCAGGTTAGTTCTTTGATACTACAGAGTCGATTATAGTAACTAACAGTTTCGTAGCGAAAATTCAGCAAGGTCATGCGCAGCGCTCTTGCTCAGGTTCGAGGTCGTGTACCCGAGGATCTAGGCGAGCAGCAGCAACGGCGAAGGGAACTTTTGGCGGTTTATCGATGGACAAAGGACGGGACGGGTTTGGCATTGTGAGCAGGGCTCTCTAGTTATGGTTAGGGAACGAATGGCATTGGAAAGGGAAAAGTAGCAACATACTTGTGGCGTCTTAGGAGGGACATTCGCTTTTTCTTTTTTTGGGTAGGAATAACGGCCTTTAATGGGACTCGGGATTGAGCTCGAGCATGGGAGCGGTAAGGGTGCTTTTAGATACCATGAAGCGGACAGCGATGTTAGTTGTCGAAAAGCCAAGTCTTTTGGCACATGAAAATTTCAACTCTATTTAATCTTTGACCGCGATTCGTCTTGGGTGGTGCAATTATTCGATTTCGGATTTTATTTCGTGCTAGATGGATTTCTAGAGCAGGAAGATGTCGGTACTGGTTTGGATATATTGTTCGGAGGAGTAGTGTTCGTGGAAGCCGAGTGTTTGTGGCAGTGGTGGGGTCTTAGATGGTCGGACAAAGGCCATAGTTCCCGGTCAGTAATTCGAGTATTGGAATTCAAGTTGATCAGTAACTATATTTCTGCAAAAGAAGAATGTTAGCTGAGTCCTTAGAAGTGCTCTTAGAGGAATTGTGTGTTTGTAGGGGCCAAGTGTTCTTAGATAGTCACGCAAGGGCATGTTAGTTCGCTGTCAGTCATTCAATCTTTGCACTTTGGTTTTGATTTGGCAAACGGATAGATTCCTGTAAGAGGACAATGTTTTCGGAATGCTTAGACGTGCTGCGCGGAGAAATACAGTGTTCGCGTTCGTCGAACAAAGGAACAAAGGGCATTGTAGGTCGTCTTCGGCGATTCGAGTATGATTATGATTTTTCTTTTCTGGCAACCAGATCCTTTGAAAGATCAAAATTCTGGCAAGACTTTTAGATCTGCTGTCCAGACAATCGATTGTTCGTCGTAGCAGAGTGTTCTTAGATAGGTAGTCAAACAAAGGCCATTGTGATTCGTCTTCGGCAGTTCGAGTATTATTGTGGTTTCTTTCTGGTACTATATGGCTCCCCACAAGATTAAATGTTAGTTAATGAGTCGGAAGCGTTGTTCAGATGATTTGAGCGTGTGTAGATAGTCAAAGAAAGGACATAATGGGTAGTGGTGGACTTACCAAGTGTGTTCAGCATGACATGAACATTGAACAATGAACATTTTCACAACCTCGTGTTCTTTACACAATTCTCTCAATCTTTTCTGTCGTCTTTGATTTCTTTTCCTTATATTCTCATCGCCGTATCTTCTTTCCTTGCGGCGCAATCGTCGATGGCGGTGTTTGATCTCAGCAACCCCTATTCAACAAAGTCAGCACAAGTCGATCCACGACTTATGGATAATGGATCCAAACCTTTTCAATAGTTCCAAATGGTGATTCCCAAAGTCTTGTTGACTGGTTTTCGTTGCTCATGTCGCAGCCGGCGATGGCGCTCAAACGATTTCAGCAACCCCTATTCAACCAAGTTAGTCCAAACCAATCCACGACTTATAAATAATAACTTGCGACCTTTCTTACAATTCCAAAAGACGTTTGTCAAAGTCCTGTTGGGTTATATTGGTTCCTTGCGGCACAGTTGACGATGGTGGTGCTCGATGACTTCGACGACCCCTATTCAACCAAGTTAGCCAACATCGATCCACGATCGATGAACGGTCTCCCACAACCTTTCTGATAGTCCTCAATGGTAATCTTTGAAGTCCTGATGCTATATCCTCTTTCGTCGTGGCGTAATCGACGATGGCGGTGTAGAACGACTTTTGCAGCCCCGACTCAACTACTCAACCAGATCAGCCCTGACCGTTCTAACAACTTGCAGACAGTCCCTACAATCTTCCTCTTAGTCTCAAGTTATATTTGGCAGTGTTCTCGTAGATGTATACTCTCTCCATACAGCGCCGTCGGCATTGGCGCTGTTGGATGGACGACTTTGGCAGCGACCCCTATACAGTCAAGTCAGCTCAGAACGATTCGAGATCAACAATAATACGTACGTACCAAATAATTCGAAGGCCGTCTCTCTCTTTACTCTCCTTCGTTTTCGTTGTATTCGCCGAGTGATAGACGCTTCCATGGTTGGAAGTCCTCTCACAAAATTTGTCGACAACGAGATCCTAACGCCGCCATAGCCATGACGACACAGAATACTCGAGACCACCATCATAAGATAGCGGACGATCTGTACAATAAGTTGAAGGTGCTCTAGTGGTGCATTGGATGTTTAGGGAAGAGTGAGTTGAAAGGGCGGCAAAATTGGGTCGGCGGCGCAGTGGTTGATCACGGACGTGACAGCAAAAAGCACAGCAACAACCATCACCATTTCTACTTCTCCTTATCCTTCTTCTCATCTAGAGAAAGAGAGTAAGTAGGGAAAGAAACATCATGATGATATAGTTTTGCTTGTTTGGGCTGTTGATGTTGGTCTCGTACACCCTCGCGAGTAACCATAACCACGCTATGTTTTACCGTTTTCCCGCATAAGGTACAAGTACAAGTGGGCGTCTAATCTTTGTGTGTTTCGTTTCAACTACACGTGGAGACTAGGTTCTTTTTGCATCGTGTGGGCGTCTTTATTTCAACGTTGTTGGTCATCCATTTGGTTACTTATCACTACGAGATAGCTTCGAGGGACTTGCAACACTGGCAAACTACTAAACACTCTTCATGTCTACATTGTATACAATATCTAATACATAATACCTTGTCTGTTTCTGTAGAGATTTAATGGCCTAATGCTCACGTGGATTACCAAACAATTTGGAAGGCCATGGTATCAGATGGCAGATGGCAGGATACCTCATGCACGCTCTGATTTAGTGGCATCTACCTCTCCATCTCATGTCACGTTGCCTCGCTATTAGACGCGTTTGTATTCGTGACTAACACGTCTGTACGCGTGATGCTATTTTCAAAAGCAGATAAAACAAGCAGTGCCTGTCCAGTCTCTATAGATGCCCCCCAGCCGCCCTGTAACTGGAAGATTCCCCAGTGGTAATTGCGTAATAAAAGGCCGTAGCCATGCACTCCGTCATAGTTTAGTAGCCAAGACCCTTTTCGTACTTAGGCAGAGGCTGGACTGTTCGTTGTTGTGATCTCCTGGGCGAGTGACTCCACCCACTCTTTTTCTGTTACCTTCACCTTCACCTTCTCGACCTGCACTCCTCCTCTCCCTCCCACTTCTCTTCCTCACAAACACACTCTTCCCAAATCATCACACAAGACATATTGAATCACAAACACTTTCACAGATACACTGAATCATTATCACAAGCACACATACACTCTGAATCACTGCATCTTCTTGTTACCCCCTTCCCTTAATCACACACATACTATCTATCCCCTTACCCATATCGTCGCGGTATCACGCGCCCCCCAAAGACATCATGTCTTTACCTGGTTCTCCCAACAAGAACTGTGGCCGTTTGCCCCAAGCACTACGACCACTTCTCCCTGCCCCTTCTACCGGTGAAGACCAACCTATTGCTCCGACCTCGTCACTTCTTCAAGGTGCTGAACAGCTTCCTCTCGTCGAACAACCTTCTCGTACTGAACACCAGTCCGTCTTGTCAATTCCTAGTGCACTCTCCCAAGAGGAGCAGTCCCAAATCAGCTTTGATTTTGATCCTCTTCCTGCTGGAATAGATCTCAACTTCGATCGACCTTACCACCGCTCTTCTTCTAACACTACTTCATCTACACCTGCACCTGCACCTATTCCTGAACCGCAGCCAGTAGACCCTGCTCTTTCTTCTACCGAGTTTCAACTCTCTAGTAAACCACGCAGTCTTACTCTAGATCACTACTTCTTCAAAGAGCCGTGCCCTTTCACAGGCAATCTTCGAGGTGCACCTCCTCCAGCTCCAGCAGTAACTGAAGCTCAAACATCTTCTGCCCCTTTGTCCATTGATAACACACCTGATCAACCCGAAAACCCACTGCAGCCCCCTGCTCCTTTTTCCTACGGATACGCATATCCTCCTCCACCTGTTCCAGGCGCTCCCCTACTTCCCTTCCCTCCCCAAGATCGAAAGAGAAAAGACGCTGGAAGCACTGGTTCTAAAACCTCTAGCAAGAAGAGGAAAACTTCTCAGTTTCCACCTCCATTCACGGCTCCTGGTACTCCCCGCCCTCAAACTCGGTCTGAAGGTTTCTTGTTGCCCCCTACTTTTGACAATCGCAAGAGACTTGCAAGTGAACTCGAAGACTACACTGTTCCCTGTCCCGTTGGAAAGAAGAGTCGTCTTGATCAGCCAAACGAACAGCCCAACCAGGACCCCTTGGCCCCCGTCGACATTCCCGAATTTGTCCTTGTCGAGTCTCTAGCCAGAGCGGGTCAGCACTCCTCTCTTATAAAAAGTTTGGTATTGGGTACTTTCAGGGAAGCTAAGAATAGGAGTGCGCTCAACTCCTGCAGCTATCAGAACGATCCGGTCAGACAGCAACCTACTGAACAGCAGGCACCTACCGACCAAACTTCTGCCGACCAAGGTTCTTTCGAACAAGCTTCTGTTGAACAAGCTTCCAAGAAAAAGGATTCTAACAAAAAGGCTGGCAAAAAAGGATCTGCTGAGACAATGTCTTCCAACGAGACACCCGTCGAGCAACCTGCGCAGTCCTTCGCCATGCCGGCTGTGAATCCAGCTGGCTACCAAAACCAAGATCTTTCCTACGAAGGACGACCTTATATCAATCTCAATCCTAGCCTTGATGCTCTAGGAGAGTTTACTGACCCTGAGGTTTACCGCAAGCTGAAGTTTGGTGGCATGATCATTCAGCGCGCTAACTTGGCTCCCTCTAATGATCTTTCTTATCCAGAGCAGTACAGACGGCTCAAGAATATCCAAGAAGAGCTCGCACGACAGGATTCGATCGCCCCTATCCTCCCACCATCCGAACTCAGTCCTCAGGACCCCAAAGGTTTCACACCAAAGCCGTACAATGTACCTGAAGACATTGAAGATCAACGCGTTCACGACTTTTTTGCCCAGAAGAACAAGGACTTGTGCACACGAAACAAACAGGTAGACCTCGATAGAAATAACATGGCTGCTAAGGGCACCCGCCAGCGTCGAGAAGAGTCGCTGTCTCAGTATCGCACCATCGCCAGAGACCTTGCAATTGAACGAAACTGGTGGCGCCTCAAGGCCGCATCTCTCGGTGGCGATCCCACTGAGTTCGATGCCTTTACGGATCATACCCGAAGAGCTATGTCTACCGAAATGGACGAACGAATGGAGAAGCTCGAGAAAGAAGCTGCCAAGAAGGCTAAGAGAGTCAAGGCAAAGGCTCAGGCAGCTATAACTTCTCAGAACAATGTAAGTCATCAGTCTCGTTTAACTTGGTAGCAAAGTGTACTAACATCTTCTCTTTAGAAACTCGCCAAGCAGGATGTGCAGCGACAGAACAAGGAGATCAAGCAGGTCGTCTCAGCTTTTGCAGCCGGGGATCTTACCGCCATCGAACGAATGAAGCAGGCTGACTACGATGCGAAGGCCACCGCTTATCGCAAACCTCGTACCAAGCAACCCTCCAAGAGGGCTCGCAAGGCAAACAACGTCGATGATGACAAGGACTCGAACGCTGAGGTCGAAACTCCCGATGTCGAAACTCCAGCAGAGAACGCTACCGAAGAAGCAGCTGGCGATCCTGGTAACGCCGAGAACATCGATAGCAACATGTACGGCCTTAATGATGTTGCTCGCGCCAACACAGAACTCATCATTCCTGATACCAACGTGGCTTCTCAGTCTATGTACCCTTCTGTTGAAGATACTCAGCCAAACAACAACTTCACCTTCCATCCTGTCCCCAACTTTGATTCTAATGTCCAGACACAAGATGACCAGCCCTCCGGTGCTGAGGAACCTGACGACATGGAGCACAATGATCTCCGGCGAATGCCTTCCAACATCACCATGTTCGACGCTCCTACTGATGGTACTCACATCGCCACCTCCATGGCTCCTCCCGGCTTGATGCCTACTATGATGGATCAGAGTGCTATTTGGGCACCACCTCCTACCTTTGACTCGAGTACACTGCCTCCCACCCAGTTCAACCCTCAATTGAACGGTCCCATGGGCGACATGACTATGCCATCTGGAGATATACATGCACCGGTCAATGACATGAGCATGGTCCCCGTCAACAACATGGACTTCAACTTCCACGCTCCCATGAACGAGGTCGGCCCAATGGCTCCTTCTTACATGAATTCAGACTTCCACACTATGAACGGTATCGACGCACCTTCGTCTCAGAACCTCAACCAGCCTTGGTTCAATCCTACAAGCAATGCTGAGTCTAACGCCTTTGGACCCGCTCTCCCCGTTATCTCTCAGAGTATTGAGCTTCCACAGCAGACTACCACTACCAACAACACCGGTACTTCTGATACATTTGATCGCAACGCGGATCCATCTACATTCCCCGATCCCCACGACGAGATTTTCTTCGGTAACTATCTCGGAGACATGAACTCGTCTCAGAACTAACCACCTTCGACTCTACCACATATCACACCATCACCACATTTTGTGACGAACAGGATGGTCTACAGTATTTGCTTTTTTCTGCCTCATTCAAACCCATCCACCACATTGTGACGATAGGATGGCTCAGTTCACTTGCTTTTTGGGCGCGGATCTTACGTCAAAAGTTGTTCTCTGATTTCTTCTACTTTACCATCGGATGTTTGCATTTTCTTGGCATCGCATTGCATTGTCGAATTTCTGCCAGGCGCACAAGGACCTTTGATTTACTGCGGATCGCAATTGTCTCTACTTCTACCAAGATCCTCCTACATATCGAGCCACACTACCGGGATCTCTCAGCACAACTACGAATTGATTCATCGTCTTCGCACCGGCGCGGGGACATTACACTATCAACTACCAGTATCATGACACATACCAGGCATTCGAGACTTGAGCGAACTGCCTCCTTACACAACTCGATACTCGCCTTGAAGGCTTCAAACAATTACATTAACACACATCTCTACACCAATGCATGTCTACATGCTCGCCTTGAAGGCCAAACAAATTACACTAACACACGTCTCCATACTCGCCATTGCCAACCACATTACCACACGTCTCTATACTCAGCACTCGGAACTTAAGCGAGCTGCTCTACTACACAAGATGACACTGGCCTACCAGGTCTCAAGCCAACTACATAACCATACCTCTTCTTACTCGCCATTCAGGCCAGACAAATTACACTACCACACCTCTTCACACTCGCCATTCAAAACTACCTAAACACACGTCTCTATACTGGTCACTCAGGCCTCAAATCAACTACATTATCATACGTCTTCATACTCGCCACTCAGGCCAGACGATTACATTAACACGCATCTCTATACCTGGCATTGAAGCCAGACGAACTACATTAACACACGCCTCCATACTCGGCATTCATGCCAGGCGGATTACATTAACACACGTCTTCAAAGACGCCATACACAAACTACCGATGACATAACAAATACTCTCATAACCTACACTACCAATGGCTGGACACCGCCTTGTGAACACTATTACCACTCGTCCAGGAGACGCAGACCACGAACTATACGATACCACACCGAATTCTTACATCCAACGCGCACCACTAATGGCTTTACTATACCCAGCGATCGGCGTTCTACAATAGATACCCCCATTTACACAAAGGTCTTTTGCCCACGGGCCGGAAGGATATTGATCTGCTCAAGAAAGCAGTTGGCGTTTAGGATGAGATACCATTGACATAAAGTCAGACTTTGACAGGGAAGGTCAGACTTGATTTGCACATTGTGGTTTTGCAGTACCACCCAAAAGCCCGCAGGAAAAGGGCATGTATACGTATAGAGCATTGTATTATGAATACGGACATTAGGAAGGGACATCAGGAAAGCGGTATAGATGGTCATAAAGACACTAATAGCTTCCTCGGAGATAGATAATATCAGTCATGAAATCATTCTTGTGCCTCTTCTAAATTGTGACTAGATGTACCAAGTAGACTTGAACTCCGACTCTGACTACCATCCATCGCCTTCCGGGTATAACCAATTCGACGTTTCTCATCGTGAGATAACCAAACAGCCTTCCAGCGGCCTTGGTAATCTACGCAGCAGTGGCCTCAGCCTTGGGCTCAGCCGCCTCCACATCCTTCTTCGGCTTGGGCGCGAAAGTTGAGCCGTTAGGATCAGCCAAACAAGCCTTGACATAAAAGACAGTGATAACAACAATCAAGATCCTGCACATAACCATCAGTAAGTGTCACACTCTCTCAGGAATACTGAAACTTACCAAGTAACACCACCAAGCGCCGTACCAGCAGCCATCGAACCACCCCACGCATCAAGCTCCTTCACCCGTTGAATGCTGTAGCTGACATACACATTATAGAAGTCCGCTGTCCACGCAGCAGCCCACGTCCAAGCAGCGAGCCACAAGATCGAAGATATGACGAGACCGCCGAGGAAGAGAAGACGGATGTAGAGTTGGGGAGCGAACAGTTCGAGGGCTATCATTGAGCCTAGGGTGAGCCATGTGAAGATAGCCTGGGTGTGTCAGTAAGGAAACAGGAAGAGTAAGGAGGGTTCTTACGTTGAAGATGATGAAGCCTGCTGGGCCATCACCGCCGTAGTATCGGGACCAGCTGCTTAGGTGCGAGATGTTGTACGCCGCTGTGATGAGAGCACCGAGTGAAGTAACGATGGCTGCGCCGCGAAGGATGGTCAGACAGAGGGAGATCTTGGGAGCGCCTTTCGCTGAGAGGCCTGGATTTGGTGCTGTAGTAGCCATTTTGTAGAAGTGATGTTTGGAACTTGAGAATATCTGATGATGGTCTGTTAGAATAGCGATACACCAGACTGGGCAATATCACGAGAACACTTACGAGCAGTGTGACCAGCCAGCTAGTCGATCAGTTCAGTTTATCACTTGGGACGAGGGGCATGGGTGGTTTAAGTAGCACTTCTGATCCTAGGAGCAAGCATAAATTAATAATTGGGAAACAGACTCTGGCACAGACAGGGCTGAAGGGATGTGTTGTCTTTTGGTCTGGGTCCATCGGATGTGTCACGTACCAGTAGTACTCTCTTACAATGAATCAGATCTTCTATTAGACTAGCATCAGTTAAATCAGGGGTGTCAGCTACAATTCCTCACACAGATCTCTCTACTGACGTCGTGATATCTTCAACCAGAGCATACCCTAGACTCAGCAGTGTCAACACAAGTCCACGCTACAACCCGAGATAGATGATAAATACCTTCATCTGGTTTCTCATTAATTATTCTCAAGCTATTCTTAGTATTCTCATCTGTTCATTGCATAATGTTGGGTACTCATCGTGCAACAGCCAGCTGTTCAGGGTCTTTTGATTTGCGCCCTGTCATGTTTCATCTGTGTCGATCATTACAGGGGCGTATTCCCTGCGCCATTGTTTCACGAGGAAGATCAGTTTAATAGAATCAGAGCACAAGACACTTTTCAGCTGCTACGAAAATCAATTTTAATGATTTCTAGAGGAAACATTCTATTATGCGTGGTAAGTCATTATGTCACGATGGATATTTATATTAACATGAAACGCCCATTAAATCCTTTTGCCACTGTAACTCGGTATGAAACAAATCCGTCAGAATGGCATGAATATTAAGGTGGTTTATCATGCCTTGTTCTAAATCATCAAGTTGCTGTCATAAATCATCAGAGAGTCTTACTTCCTCGCATGGACCATCCTTCCTCTAACCCAAACCCTCTTCACATTCCGATCATCTCCATTAAACAACCACTTGGCAATCTTCTCCTCCCAAGTCTCCCACCCAAAGATATTCACATTCCCATCCTCTTCCGCCAAACCATCCATATCAACACCTCCAAGACGAATCAACTGCGCATCAAACTCCATCCCCTCTTCGAACCCGCCAACTCTGTCCCCAAGACCGACGACGTCCGCTCCACCTCGAGTTGCAAGATACAGAACTTCTTCTACCGTCAACTTGCTTCGTTCCTTGTCTTCTTTCAATCCCATCGCGATGTGACGGCTGACGAGCGCTGCTTGACGTGCTGCTTCGAGAACGGAAGGGCTGTAACCACCGCTCATGTCTGTGCCGAGACCAACTGTGATACCCTTATCCCAAAGCCAGCGTACTCGAGCAGAACCACTCGTGAGAGAGCTGTTACTGCAAGGGCAATGTGAAATCTTGCTTCCGCGCTGCGCTATCAACTTCGCTTCTTCCTCCGTCAAATGCACAGCATGCGCCAGAATGGTCTTGGAAGTCAAAAGGCCGCAGTCATCGTAGACATGCGTATACGACTCTGACTCAGGAAACAGCTCCGCAACCAGATCGATCTCTCCCTCGTTTTCAGAAACGTGTGTCTGAACAGGAAGATCCATTTCCTTCTGAATCTTGGCAAGTCCCTTCATTGACTCGGTCGAGCAAGTCGGTGCAAAACGCGGTGTCAAAACCGGCGAAACTAGCTTGAACTCTGGATCGATCTTCTTCATGTGCTGAATCGTCTGTCGTGTCTTTTCTAAACCTTCTTCCACGCTCTCATCGCGATAGTAGTCAGGACAAAAGTCAGGGTTATCCATACACACACGGCCCACCAGCGCTCTTTGTCCAATTTCCAAACAAAGATCCGCAAGGAGGTTTGTAGCCGCTACGTCGATGGTTGCATAGTAAGCCGCTGTTGTTGTTCCGTGAGATAATGTTCGTCGTACACATGAGCCATATACTCGACGCGCCTTGTTCAGGTCTTTGAGACTAGACTCAAGGGGAAATGTGTACTTTTCCAGCCAATCTAGAAGTGTCGTCTTTCCAAAGATGCCGACATTTGGGTACTGAGATGCATGAACGTGAGAATCTAAGGTTTGTTAGTACAAACTTGTTGACAAGGTCGTATATGGTACTCACCGACAAAACCAGGGAAGAAGAACTCTCCAGGCTTAGCGACATGAACATCCACCTCATTCAACTTCCAACCTAGAGTCTCTGATAATCTCTCACCGATTCGCTCTGCGTCACCGCCCTCATGGTCAACCTTGACAATCTTCCCCTCCTCATCAACACAGACGAGAGTATCATGGTAATAGTCAAGTTCCTTTGGACTCTTGCTAGACACAAAAGTCCCCAAGAACACCTTCTTCTTTGAATTCGCCATAGTAGGAGTTCCAGTATCTTGATCTCTCAAGAGGTGCATTATCGTGTTGATAAAGAGTAAGAGGGAGGATGAGAGATGATGTAATACTTCAAAGAGCCAAGAGGAAAAAGAAAGCGAAGCGAAAGCGAGAGAAAGCACGAGCGTTTTCTTTGACCTTCTTGTTTCGGGTTTATATACAAAATCCATGAACACGTAAACTTGAACTTGGCTTAGATAGTCTATCTCCTTAATAGCGACCAAAGCGGACTTTGGCTTCGTGATAGGCCACCTCCACCTCTTGTCCGTCTCCGGCTGTCGCCGGCGGCCGATTAGTTGCAAACGGGAACATGTGGAGACATCAGGTACTTCCTTTACCGAGGCATTTACGGGGAAACATCATGTACCTCTTGTCCACCTCGTTAATTATTCCCGTCATCGGCTTCAATTGTACTACGAACGTAATATCACAAACATCACAACGTCACACAAATATGGAACAAATTGGTTGATAGGTAAATATCGTTCAAACATTGAAATTGTCTAGTAGCAAAATACCAAAACAAATAAACGCCCCTTCTAGCTAAAGATAACACGATATTTCATAATAGGTAATAGTACTCATCTCAAATAACAATCCGAACCGGGAATCTGTATGCTTCTCTTCATAATCATCCATCTAATTCGGTCTTCTCTTCCGTCATAACATGTCTATGCATGATTTCTTTCCTCATTTTAATTATCTTCCTTTTCTTTTTTTCTTTCTTTTTTTTTTGTTTGGTTTCTGTAACTGCTTAAGCAGCACGGCCAGTTCCCTCGTACTCGCCACTGGAGCTCTCGCTACCCTCAGCACCGTTGGTAGCGGCCTCGTCCTGGTTGTACTTGTCCCAGTTGGCCAACACGGCACCAATCTTGGGCGAGTTGGTCAGCTTGTAGACATCCTCAAAGTACTCCTTGGTCAACGCGAAGGGCTTGGCTGTCACGTTGGGGATGTACTTTCCAACCAGCTTGGAAGGATCAATGGAAGTCTTGTTGATCTTCTTAAGCAGGAAGGATCGGAAAGGCTTGACACCAGATCGGAGGAAAGTAGAGTGGAAAGGCACATCGATACCTCGGAGAGGGATGGTAGCAAAGCCACGCTCCAGCTCCAGAGGGGTAGGCTTGGCCAGGGTCTTCTCAGCGCAACCACGGATGATCTCGCGGAGGTGTCCCTTAACCTCCTCAATGTTGTCCTTGACCTCTTCAATATCGATCTTCTGGATCTTGATGAAGTTGGTCACACCAGCAAGAGTGTCGAGCGCACGGAGGTCACCGGCACAGACGTACTGCTGGTTGGCAATGTTGTAGTTGACAATCTCAAGGAGCCAGCCAGTCTCCTCAGCAATGTTGTCAACAACGAACTGGAGAGCAGCCTCGTTGAAGGTCTTGCTGATGCGGCTGGGGTTAACAGCGCACATGGAGTAGTTGGATCGGCCAGCAGCGTCACGCTCGACAGCAACCTGCATAGTGAGACCACGGTAGAACACAACCGAGACCAAACTCTCAATGGGCATGACCTCGGCAAGAGCAGCCAGAGCAGAGTATTCACCGAGCGAGTGACCGGCAAAGGTGCTGTTGTTGGGCACAAGTCCCTTGGCCTTCATGTCCTCAAAGCTGGCCTTCTCCATGAGAGTAAGGGCGGGCTGGGTGAACTGAGTGGCCGAGAGAAGACCGGTGGGGGATCGGTAGGTGTACGAGGTGGTGGTCTCGTCAATCTCCTTGAAGATCTTCTCAGACTTGATGCTGCCGTCGGCGGCAACGGTCTCGAAGGTCATGGCAATGTAGTTCTGGCGGATGGCCTTACCACGGGGACCACCGAAGTGGATGGTAAGCTCCTTGGGGTTGTTCTTGACAATGTTGGTGATGGAGAAGCCATAAGCGTCGAGGAGGTACTTGTCAGCACGGTCCCAAACCTCCTTGGCGACAGGGCTGCTGGCGTACAGCTCCATACCCATACCCTGCTCCTGAGAACCTTGACCAGTGAATACATAGGCTGTAGCAGGCTGCTCAACCTCGGCCTCACCCTCGAGAACCTTGTCCTCAGTCTCCTTGTTGCGGACCTCAACCTTGATGATCTTGCGACCAGAGACCATGCCAGAGTGCTGAAGCTTGACCTCGAGCTCGTCGTTGGGCAGAACCATACCGACAAGCGAGGCGTGGAAGCTTCGGACGCGGCCGATGTTGTTCTCGGCAGCCCAGGTCTCGACGAGGCTTCGGACGGATGCACTGGAGTACATACCGTGAGTGATGGTACCAGGGAGGTTGGCGTAGCTGGAGAAGACACGAGAAACGTGGATGGGGTTGTAGTCACCAGACACACGGGCGTAGTTCTCGTTGGAGGCGGGAGCTCGAAGAGCAAGAGGAGACTTTCCACTGAGAGGGATAGCGTTCTCGAAGTTGATGGGCTGGTCGATAGGCTTTCCGTTTCGCTCGAGGTAATCGATGACAGGGTTGCCGTGAGACTCGCCAGTCTCGTAGTCGACGCTGCCGACCTGGATGATCTCCTTGGTGGGGAGCTCAAGGAGGACCTGGCCACGGGTCTCAATGCTGCTGAAGACAGTCTTGTTCTTGTAGCGAACCAAGCTCTGGAGACGGAAAGTCAGAGTCTGGCCGAGCAGCTCAATGTTCTGAGGGAGCTCGTCAACAGAGAACCAGTCCTTGGAGCGAAGGATAGCAACATCGCGGGTGGTGGCGAGGTGAACCTGGATGGGGGTCTCGACCTTTCGCTGGAAAGTGTTCTCGTAGTCGGTGTAGGTACCACGGTACAAGAACTGGGAAGTGACCTCCATGACAGGCTTGTTGTCGCGGACGAGAGTACCGCAGACCTCAACCATCTTACCAGCCTCCTGGTTAATGACAGCGTTGACCTGGGCAGTGGTAGAGACCTCATCGCCCTTCTTGAGAGGCTCAGCACCGGGGATCATGCGGAACTGGTTGGACAAGTGGACGAGCTTCAGGAGATCACCGTCAATGGTGCGAGGGAAGATAGGCTTGGTGATAGCCTTCCAGCCAATGACGATAGCAAAGTCCATAGGAGCATTGACAATCTTGCCGGGTCGGTCGACGAAAGCCTCGCCAGTGTTGCCAACAGCGTGGACGAAGTCGTTGATAGCCTCGCCAGTGATGGTGGTCTTGCCACCATCAAACTCGGCAGTGATATCGGCATCGAGGTCAAGAGCCTCCTCGCCAAACCATGCCTTCCAGTAGAACTCCTTGATGCGGTCGTTGCGGCCCTCCATAACCTCACGGATAGGAGAGTAACCAGCCTCAGGGTGGTAGGTGAACTCCAGGGGCAGAGCAGCGGGCTTGCCAAGGGCAGTAGTCTCCTTGATCATGTTGACCTGGATCTTGTTCTCGCCAACAAGCTTGACCTCGATCACATCAATGTACTGATTGTGGCGGGGCTGCTCACGAACAATGATAGTGGTCTTGGAAGGATCGTTGGGGTAAGAGATCTCAACGAACAGACCACGAGAAGGAGCAAAGATGCGTCGGATGGGGTTGGTCTGGAACTTCTGGCCCTGAGCAACAACATCAGCCATGAGCAGAGCATGGCGCCAGTTGCGGTTGGGACCAGCAAGGAGAGACAACCAAGAGTCGAGCTCGGGGAGAGTGGCGGCAGCAGACGAAGACAGACGGTAGGTGTTCTTGTAAGTGTCGTAGCTGACGGTCAGGCCCTCAACATCGAGAGGAATCTCGGGGTCGACGAGCTTGCCACCGAAGTACTCGATGTAAGGAATGGAAGCCTTGTTGTCGTTGTACAGATCGCGAGCAAGATACTTGACGTGAGTCTCGTGGATCTCATCGAGGATCTCCTTGATGGGCTGGTCAATCTGGGTAGAGAACTTGGCAGCAGCAGGTCCCTGAAGAATGCAAGTTCGGCCAACGTCCTGGTCAACAACAGCATCCAGATCCTCAGACTGCCACAGGGAGTCCTTCTTGAAGTAGAACTCGAAGTTGTCATCGAAGACAGGGATGAAAGTGACAGGCTTCTGAGTGGGTCGCATGCACATGATGAGGAAGTGCTGAACATCCTGAGCGTTGATGATCTGAGTCTCGGCATCAGGGTAAGCAGCAATGATGCGGTCGATCACATCAAAGGGATCGCTGAGCTCAGCGTAGCTCTGAAGCAGAGAAGGCTGGCCAGGGGAGGAGGTCAGACGCTCCTCGAGGCGGTGGATGTAGTCACCAACGAGAACGCTGTAAGAGCGGTCGATCCAGCGAGACTGGTGCTTGACGTAGAGAAGCTCGACGAGACGTCGGAGAACATCAGCGTAAGTCATGTCATCAAGGTCGCAAGCCTTGCCCTCCTTGTTGCGTCCGAACCAGACCTTCTGGCAATCGTCGTTGAGCTTCTTGATGATGTAGTCCTTGTTCTTGTTGAGCTCAGCAACGCGCTTCTCCTTGGGAAGACTGAAGATCTTCTGGTCCATCTCGGCCCAGAAGCGAACTCCACGAGTAGCGAGCTTGTGAATGGGCTCACCCATCTCGGATCGAACAGTGAGAACACCACCAGCAGGTCCCTTGTAGGTCTGCTCCCACTCGCTGTCATCAAGACCAGGAGCGGCAACAATAGCCTCCTTAGCGGCCTTGCTGGTGTGAGCCTCCTTGGCAACCATCATGCGGCTACCGAACAAGCAACCATCGAAGGGCATGGGAGGGTAACCGTACTTCTTGGCCCACTCACCAGTGATGTAAGGGTAGGTGTCATCAGCACCACCGAAACCACTACCGGCAACGAGGATGATGTTCTCCTGTCGTCGGATACGGCCATACATCTGGAGGATAGGGTGGTGGAAATCCTCGAAAGAGTGGTGACCACCACCACGACCACCGGTCCACTGAAGCATAACAGGGAAGTGAGGGTTGGCCTTGGCGATGTTGATGACGGACTGGATGGCATCAAGAGAACCGGGCTTGAAGCTGATGTGCTTAAGGCCAAGGGTCTCGATGTACTCCTGAGCAACCTCGATGGAAGGAACACCAGCACCAATGGTAAGACCCTCGATAGGGACGCCCTCAGA